GAGGTAAAAGACCTGTACTCTGAAAACTACAAAACGTTAGTGAAAGAAATTAAATAGGACACAAACAAATGTCCCATTTGTTTGACATTCCTGAAAGGAATGACATTTCTGCTCATGGATTAGAAGAACGAGTATTGTTAAAATAGCCATACTGCCCAAAGCAGTCTACAGATTTAATTCAATCCCTATCAAAATACCAACAACATTTATCACAGAACTAGAACAAATAATATAAAAATTTACATGGAACCACCATGGCCAAACAGTCTAGAGAAAGAAAAAAGCTGGAGGTATCACAGTCTGAGATTTCAAGATACTATAGAGCTGTAGTAACCAAAACAGTATTGTACTGGAATAAAAATAGACATACAGATCAATAGAACAGAATAGAGTGCCCAGAAAATAAACCCACATTTATATGGTTAATCAATCTGTGACAAAGGAGAAAAGAATACATGATAAGTAAAAGACAGTCTCCTTCAACAAATAGTGCTGGGAAAATTGGACAGCTACATGCAAAAAGACGAAACTGGATCACTTTCTTCTATCATATACCAACCAAATAAACACAGAATGGACTAAAGACCTAAATGTGAGACTTGCAACCATAGAACTCCTAGAATAAAATAGGCAGCAATCTCTTTGACACTATCTGTAGAAGCATTTTTCTAGAGGTCTCCTCAGGCAAAGGAAACAAAAGCTAGAATAAACTATTGGGACTACACTAACCAATAAGAGCCCAAATCCAAAAATCTATAGAGAACTTATAGAACACCCAGAAACCAAATAATCCAGTTAAAATGGACAGAGGACCTGAATTGTCATTTTTCCAGAGAAGACATACAAATAGATATCCAACAGACACATGAAAAGATGCTCAACATCACTAATCATCAGGGAAATGCAAATCAAAACCACAATGAGCTACCACCTCACATTTTTAGAACGGCTAAAATAAAAAAGACAAGAAATAATAAGCACTGGTGAGGATGGGGAGAAAAACGAACCCTCACGCACAATTTATGGGAATGCAAATTGGTACAGTCTCTGTGGAAAAAAGTATGGAAATTCCTTAAAGAATTTAAAATAGAATAAGCATATATTCCAGTAATTCTACTACTGGGTATTTACCCAAAGAAAACAAAAACACTAAGTTGAAAGACATAAGTATCCTTAGGTTTACTGCAGCATTATTTACAATAGCCAAGATATAGAAGCAACATAAGTGTCTATCCATAGATGATTGGATTAAAAAAAAGGTGTGGTATGTATACACACACACACATATACAATGTAATATCACACAGCCATAAAAAGAATGAGATTGTGCTATTTCCAACAACATGGAGGGACCTGGAGGATATAAGGCACAGCATGGCAACTATAGTTAATACTGTATTGCATATTTGAAAGTTAAGACCGTAGGTCCTAAAATTTCTTATCATGAGGAAAAAATTTTGTAAGTATATGTAGTAATGGATGTTAACTAGGCTTATTGTGATGGTCATTTCACAATATTTACAATATTTACAAATATCATTATATGCCTGAAATTAACATGTTATATGTAAATTATATCTCAATTTTTAAAAAATGGGCCAAGGGCCTGAATAGATAATTTTTCTAAAAGTTTACAAATGACCAACAGGTACATAAAAAGGTGCTCTGACATCACTAATCATCAGGGAAGTACAAATCAAAACCACAGTGAGATATCACCTCACTGTTAGAATGGCTATTATCAAAAACAAAAGTGATAGCAAGTGATGGCCAAAGTGTGAAGAAAAGGGAGCCCTTATGCATTCACTGTTGGTGGGTATGTAAGTTGATGCAGCCACTATGGAAAACAGTATGGAGGTTCCTCAAAATACTAAAAATAGAACCACCATCTGATCCAGCAATCTCACTTCTGGGTATAAGAAAACAAAAATCACATCTCAAAGAGGTATTTGCACCTCCACGTTCATTGCAGCATTATTTACAATAGTCAAGACATGGAAACAACCTAAATGTCCAGGAGTGGATAAACTGATAAAGAAAATGTGACACAGAGAGAAACAGGAACATTATTCACACAGAGACACACAGCAATATTTATTGGCTACAAAAAAGGCAGGCAGGCCTGACATTTGCAGTAACATGGATTGATCGTGAGGACATTATGTGAAGTCAGATAAAAACAAATAATATAGGATCTCATGTGGAATCTAAAATAACTGAACTCATAAAGACAGACTGGTGGTTGCCAGGGGGGAGAGGTAGACCAGTGATGGTCAACGGGTACCAACTTCCAGTTAGGAGATGGATAAAGTTTGGGGATCTGATGTACAGCATGGAGACTATAGTTAGCAATTTTCAAATATTCAATAGAATGTTAAGTGTCGGGGGGCACTTGACGGGATGAGCACTGGGTGTTATTCTGTATGTTGGTAAATTGAACACCAATAAAAAATAAATTTATTATAAAAAAATAATACTAAAAAAAGAATGTTAAGTGTCAATTTTAAATGTTCTCACTACAAAAACAAAACAAATGGTAACTATGTGAGGCGATAAATACCATAATTATTTCTCAATATGCACGTATCAAATTAGAACATTGTACCCCTCAAACTTAAACATTACATGTCAATTATAGCTCAGTAAAGTTGGAAAAAATAAGATACAAATACTAAAAAAATAATGTTCATTAAATGAGTGAAGGAGAGCAGATGGTCAGGAGCTGGAGGTAGAAGACAGGGATTTGCACAGAGGCTAGTCCTGTTCCAGGTCAGCTTCAGGGCTGGCATTAGTGAAAGGAAGGAAATGGCCATTTGGACAATGCTAGGAGGCAGAGGCAGGCCCCAAACATGCAGAAGAAAGTTCCCAGGAGGATGGGCTCTGCTCTCCTGGCCTGAAGATTGGGCCAGATCCCCTGAGCCTGCATGATCAGCCTCTACCCCCAGGGGACACTCAAGGACACCGCTGGTCTTGGCGTAGGGTGGCCTTCCAGTTCAGAGATGGCCTCCACTGGCAGGTGGAAAAACCCTAAGGCCCATCAACCCTGGGCTGAAAAATCCCAGAGTACAGGTATGAACGCAATTTCACAAAGGAAGAAAATGCTTTTCTTCTACTACCTGCCCAAGGACCCTCAACTAAAAGCCACTGAGCTGGGATAGGAATTCATCTTGCTGTTCCCTTAGTCTCTACACTATACTGCCTCCCTAACTTAATGGCCCCAAGTCTCCATTTCCTTTTCTGTATGGCCGGAACCATCAGTGGTTCCTAGCTCACAGTGCTTGTGGAAATTAAGTGATAAAACATACACGAGAGCCCAGCATGCAATAAGTAGGTAAGCATGAAGAAATAATGGGTGTTTGCAAATGTTGGCTCCCGAGTCTCAGATTCCCCCATCAGGCACTCAGCTCTCTCACCTGGTAAGGATTGGTATCGCAGAACAAATTGAGGGATAAGGGAGGAAGGGGGTGGGCATGGCGGGGATGAAGGAAGGCACTTGTGATGAGCACTGGGTGTTATATGTAAGTGATGAATCACCAAATTCTACACCTGAAACCAATTTTACCATACGTATTAACTAGAATTTAGATAAACACTAAAAACAAAAAAAGATAAAGGACTTTCAGTGTTATCACTGAATCCTAGAAAAACTACTCAGACCAATGTGAAAAAAAACATCACTTGTGACCTTGGGAAAGTTCCTCCATTCTGGTGGTGTCAGTGGCAGGATGTTGCTCCTGAATTTCACCCATCAGAGTTGGGAGATTAGAGGACAGGAGGTTTGCGGCAGCCCAGCGCCTGCCTTGTGCCGGGTACAGGTAAGCGCGGCGTCCCTTCACCCTGTGACCATTGTGGGGGAGGGTTCTATCTTGATTTCACTAGAGTAAGGGAATTAGGAGGATTACCTTACACAGCTACTAGAGATGAAAGCCTGTTGAAAGACCTCGGGCTGGTTAGTCCAGAGAACACAGGGTTTACACAAACCCAGCTAACTGGGCGCTGGCACCTATTTAAAACCAGGGCTTCCTGGGGATCAAGAGGGGCCCAAACCACTTCCATCTGATAAGGTTTCTGATATATTAATGAAAAAATATTGTTGAGATTTCTGGTATGTTAATGGGAAAAATGTTTCTCAAGGGAAAAATATTTGGTATTAGGAAATACTAAATCAGGGTTATAACTATTATAGCTGACCTTACGTGTTAGATTTAACAAATGTTAACACAAAAAAACTCAAGCTAATACAATTGGTCTAGTCTTAGGGCAATTGCTAGATTTTCGTATTTCTTGAGAATCTTAATGCGCGGCGCGCTGCAGGCCGGCACCGCCGACGGGCAAGGGGCACGTGCTTGGAGAAAACGTGAGCTTGAGTTTGAGGGCGCGCCTGCCTGATCGGCCTCTTCCGTCCTCTCTGGCCCCCACAAGACGGGCCCTTCGGAAGGCGGACCCGACACCCCACAAGCCGCGGAGTCAGACTGGGGCCCTGCAGCCAAGGCTCGGAGAAGCGGCTTCTCGCGGCCGCGCCTTCCCCTACCGCCCCCCCCCCCGCTCCCCGCAAGCGGCCCCGCCCCGACCGTGGGGCGAGGTGGGACGTAGTCCCCTGCCTGGCCCGTGGACAGGACATCTATGTGGCTGGAGCAACCATTTTCAGCTTTTGTGGGTTTTGATGGAAATCTCAAGAAAACTTAGAGGACCTTCTCCCGAGAAGTCTATCGGGGACCATTTTCCCGCCAGGGAGCCCGGAGAGGTCCACATCCCAGGGTGAAGCCCCTGGTTGGCCTGGGGCCCACGCCCCGCCTGGCCCCTGGGAGCCCGGGCCCCACCCTCCCCGGGTCCCGGGATCCGGGACCCGAGCTCGGCCGGGGCGGGGCCAGCACGCAGCCCCGCCCCCGCCCCGCCCCGCCGCCGCAGCCCCGCCCCCGCCCCGCCCCCGCCGCGGGGTTCCCAGACCAGCTGCGCCGCGAGCCGGGAGCCCAGACTCGCCGCCGCGCGGCCGCCGCGCCTCGGCTCTGCCAGCGCCGTTCCCGGGCGGCCGACACAGCCATGAAGATGCACTTCTGTATCCCGGCGTCCCAGCAGCGGCTGGACCGGCGGGGGGGCCGCTACGTGGTGCGCTGGGGGCCCGGGGCCCGCTGGGCTGGGAGAAGGTCGGCGACCGGGCGGGGCGGGGGCTCACCTGCTCGCTCAGCTCATCCCTGTGTCATCTCCGTGTTGCAGCTGTACTCCGTGTACCTGGACGGGTACCTCTTCTGCAGGGTGCGCTACAGTCAGCTGCATAGTTGGAACGAACAGGTGAGCAGGTTCGAGGCAGGCGAGGAAAAGCACGCCCCGAGACACCGGCCTTCTCGAGGGCTCCAAGCTCCTACTCTGAACTTGCTGCTCCTTGGTGTTCCGTCCAACCTTGTATATAGGTTGCCGCTCCTAGGCAACGGCAGCCGGGAGATGAGGGAGTAGGGCTCAGGGGATTCTCCCAACCCCTTTCCGGCCCAACGGTTCCAGCAGCCCCACCTGGCAAGGTGCTGGGCGACGGTGGCCTCCGTTTCAGTACCAGCTGTTCCCCAGGACGGTGTCCCCACTCAAAATGAGTAAACTCAGTCTAGACCAAGGTGTCTTAGGAATCTGGTACATAGGTATTTAATCTATCTCCCAACGTTTGTTAGGCTTACTTCTTTAAAAAGGTGTACCTATTTTTGTTTTCAAGTTAGTGTATAGGCTTCTAGCACCGGCAGGCTGGAAACTCAGGGAATATGACTTCTCAAGACAGGAGGCCATTTCCCACTATAGTTTCTCACTCTGATGTCCTGATGCATTTTCTCTGGGAGGCAGCCTGATTTATTAGCCTGCTCTAATGGGCTTTATTGTCCTAATAAGGAAGTGTTGCAAGTCCTCAAAATTGGTTAGAGGAGTAAAAGAAAGTTTGGAAATAAACGTTGCCCTCCCTCTACCTCCATGCAGAGTATTTTCTCTTTAATTATTATTATTAGGTTTTGTATCCTGATTTTATTTTTTTGTATCCTGATTTTAAAGAGCATATACCTGAAGTTAGAAAGAAAGGGGAGACTGGGAAGAGCCTGTGAACCTTGATCTCGGGGTCATGAGTTTGAGCCCCAGATTGGGTGTAAAGTTTACTTAAACGAAAAAAACAAAAACAAAACAAACAAACAAACTTGCTCAGGCAAGAGCTGTGAACATTTTTGGGAGAATCTTTCCAGGCATTCTGGGTTTCTAGTGAATAGATACACCTTCTGTTGAAGGACAGCTCTCAATTTCATATTTTTACTATTGGAAACATTGAAGTGAGCCTTCCTGCTCATATCAGAGGGCATTGGAAAAGTCTGTTTTCGAGGTATGATTAAGTTTCTTTGAAGTCAACAACAAAGAAGTGTAATGTGCTTGTAATTTGTGTGGGCATCTTTGAATTGCTAGCACCTGCTGCAGTGCCTGTACACCCCCCCCCACTCCCCCCACCCCCATCCCTGCCCAGAAGGTCCTCAGGAATGATGGGCTGACTCAGGTAGGGAGGGATGGATTCAGACTTCTGCAAGATGAGAAGCTACTTGTGACCAAAACCTGTCTGGGGATTTGGGAGGACTGCTGAGGTTGGCAGATGGAGATCTTAAGGGAAGAGAAAGTATAAGTGTGTTAGGTATTTGGAGGAGGATGTTGAGGTATCATCTCCCCAATAATCTGTTCTCTCTAATGTGAGGTGGGATTGGGGAGGTTGTCGTTCACAACGTGAAAAGCAGGAGACAGCAGTGGGGAGCAAGAGGGTATGGAATTGACTGACCACTTCCTGGCTGGCCACCTTACCTCTTCTCTGACCTTCAATTTTTTCATTGAAAATAATAAGCACATAGGTGGTCATGGGTGTCAATGTCCCAGAGTACTTGTGAAGAGTGGGGGCCAGTTTCTCCCAGAGCCTGGGACATGGTACGTGCTCAGGAAACATTTATTGATTGAAAGGCTTGAAGAATTCCTGAATTTTGCCCTCCTTAAAAATGCTTATTTTCAGAAAAATTAAAATCTATCAAACCTTAGCAGTTTCAGAAGCAGCAACATAGGGTGAGTAAACTTTTACTCTAGTTCTTCTATTTTGGAAACCATGAACAACAAACTGTTTTTCACTTCAGTGGACTCTTTCTCCCAAAGATTTATTTATTTGAGAGAAAGGCCCATCCGTGGGTGGAGGGGCAGAGGAAGAGAATCTCAAGCAGATTCCCCACTGGGCATGGAGCCTGACACAGGGCTTGATCTCAGGACCCATGAGGCCATGACCTGAGCCAAAATCCAGAGTCGGATGTTTAATCAACTGAACCACCCAGGCGCCCCACTGCAATGGATTCTTAAATATTGCATTGCCACAGCCTGGTGCCCAATGTGAGGTATAGATTAGATATTAATTAATATTTCTTATTTGTCCCAAATTTTCCAAAATCCCAAAGTGGAGATTTTTTTATCCTTTTCCAGCTACCTTACACCTTGCACTTAGCATTTTTCCTCTTTCAGTAGGAACAACTTCATTTTAAAGAAACTATTTAGAGGGGATCCCTGGGTGGCGCAGTGGTTTGGCGCCTGCCTTTGGCCCAGGGCGTGATCCTGGAGACCTGGGATCGAATCCCACGTCGGGCTCCTGGTGCATGGAGCCTGCTTCTGTCTCTGCCCCTCTCTCTCTCTCTCTCTCTCTCTCTCTCTCTCATGAATGAATAAATAAAATCTTTAAAAAAATACTTTAAAAAAATAAAGAAACTATTTAGAACCTAGGTAGCTATATGCATTATTAATTTAAAATAACGATAAACAGTTAAACTGTGTGTTAAGGTTGGTACCAAGATCTTTACATGTAATAGTATGTTTGATTTTTACAGCAGTTCTATGAGCTGGGATTATAATTAGCCTTACTTAACAGATGAGAAAACTGAGGTGCAACTTGCCTGAGATCAAACTGCTAGTTAAGTATTGGAGCTAAGATCCAATCTCCAGAAACTGCTCTGGCCCATTACATTTTGTGGTTTCTTCCTAAAGTTAACAAAACAAATTGTATCGGTAAAACAATTGGGTCCTAGAGTAACAAGCTTTTACTCTATTTTGGAATAACATAAAACTTCCCAATTTTAAAAAGGTGTTCAGTGTGGCGAGTTTTGGGAAACATATCCAATACTACCACCATGGTCAAGATAAAGAACAGTTTTTTCACTCTAAAATTTCCTTTGTCCCCTTTGCCCTTGATCCTCTCCCTCCACTTCTGACCCCAGGCAACCAAGGTCTGCTTTCCATCTGAGTGAATTCCAGACACAGAATTTTATTCAGGCTGCCCAGCAAGCCTCCGCAGGGTCAGCAGCACAGTCATCATTACTCCCGTTTTGTAGATAGTCTGAGTCAGGTTGTGAGATTTAGCAAATTAAAACACAGGCTCCACAGTTAAATGTGACTTTCAGATAAACAACAAAGAAGTTTTTAGATAAGAAGTTCCCTGCAGTATTTGGGACATACTTAACTGGACAACTCATATTTTGTCTGGCAACCTGAGCTCAGTCTGAGAAAGTTTGGGGGATGTCTCTTAGGCACTTCTCAGCTAGATTTTATTCTTCCTATCCCACTGAAGACGTGAAAATGGCTCAGAATTCTTTATCTGATGTAATACAAACCACTATAAAAAAGGAAACAATAAAAGACCCCATCTGTGTGTGCGTTTGATGAGAAGTGTATTTCCTAGGAAGTTCTATATCTTGATAGAATAAAAATTTCATCCTAGAGAATTAGCTGATTTATTTATTAAGAAATATTGACTAAGTTCCTCTTAGATGCCATGCACTGTGGTACATCACACGCAGATGGCACTTCAGCGTGTGTGATTCTCGACTTTAAGTATTGGATTTCTGTTTTGTACATTGGATAACTTTGAGATTGAGGAACGGCACTTGCCCAGGTGAAGTGGCCCCTGTTCTTTGTCTGCCAAGCTGTGCGGAGGCTAATGCCTCTAAGGCGGACCCTAGGGAGACTGAACCTGGCTGTGCTTGCAAGATGCTGGTTGTGACCAGTGCCCTCTGAAGTCCTTGCCCGCAGCCCTGTCCCACGGTAAGGTTGCCTCCAGGCCTGGCAGCTTGCCCCTCTGCTTTTGAGTGCCACTCATCTCTCTGCCATGCGAAATGCCTGACCTGACTTTTCTCTGCACCTTTAGCTAAGTAAAACCAGTTTGATTTGTGCTCTGCTCTTGCCTACACCACCTTCCTCTAAGGGATTTAGAGAGACCTGCAAAGGAAACATTTTACCGCCTTATTCTGACCACGTGTTAAAGATGAGGCCATCCTGTGTAAGCGACACTGGACTCTATGAAAAGGATGCATGCATTTTTGCAAACATGCTGCCAGTATCAGATATGGCAGTGGACATCAGCCGTAGAATCTCCGTAGAATCTTACAAAAGAGCCTTCAGTGGGAGTGGAAATGCTCTATGAGCCTGTATGCACTAGTTTAGTCTTCTGCTCTGCCCCCCCCCCCACCACCACCAGGTACTGACCCAGTCTAGTTCCTTCCGTATTCAGATTCTTTGTTTGTATCAGGCTGGCCTATTCATCACCTCTGACTACCTCACTTCCCCATCCTGGGAAGACTTCTGCTTTCTGGCCCACTGGTCAGGGACCAGCCCTTTTTCAAGATCCATCTCTAGCCTCACCTCCTCTGGGAAGTCTTCCTTGATTGTGTGAGATGCTTTTCTTTGATTCCTGTGTCATTTCATGTTTAGACCTTGTCATGGTCCTCCTTTTGTGTATATACTTTGCTTCCCTTGGTTATTTAGTTTCAAAAGTCAAATATTAAAATGAAGGAATGAATGAAGTCTGTAGGCATAATATACACAGTACAGAATCCTTTAGTAGATGCTTACTGGAGATTTGGTAGAGGAGAAGGAAGATGAGAAAAGGGGAAGAAGGGAGAGAAATGAGGGAGAGAAGGAAAAAGTAATGAAAATCTGCCACTCATTGGCTTCTAGGACCTTGGTTAAAGTCACTTCATCTCTCTGATCTCCAGGTTACTGTGATTGTCATGCAACTTTGATGTGAAGGTGTCAAGATGGCATGTTAATGGTGATGATGATTACCTCAAAGGGCTATTTTGAGGAACAAATGGAATAACATACAAGCTGCAGACTAATGTTCTTTGGTACCAGATGCCACAGTCTGGCTCTGAACTGTGACCCTTTATCTGGTAAACCTGGGGTTTTGATTCAAAGGACCCTTGGAGAGGTAGGATGGATAGGTCAACTTTAGGAACTGACATTAGGAAGTACACCATTTGTGTCTGTAATTCCACCTGTCCCGGGTCATCACTGAGATAAGTATGGGGGGCTAGGAGTACATAAGGTGGGGAAGGAAGTGATTTTTTCCATTGGCCAGTGAAGTCCTCTTCAAGTTAAAAGGCAGAACTGTATGATGGAAAATCAGTGCAGGAGATTGTGCTGGGATTAAAAATATATATTATCTAAACATGGTCTTTCAAAAACAAAAACCCCAAACAAACAAAACATCTCATAATAAAAGAACAAAAGAGGTGTGTTTTCCTTTGGATATCTTTGAACAATTTTGGAAAGAGTCTTTGGGCTAAACTCTAATACCAGGTAATTCTTAGTATGCTATTGATTTTAATAGCTAAACTTGTGTGCTGAGACCAGTAGACAGGTTATATTCTGATGGAGTTGAAAAACTGGGGAGTCAATGATTGATGTTTGGCAGACTTAACTACTCAGTTTATGATATGTTTATTTTCCCCCTTAGATCAGTTTTAGAGAGGGGAGGGGAAAGATTCCTTGAGAAGTCAGTTCAGGTTATAAAATCTGCTGGAAGAGTTTTTGGGCTGTGATGGGTATTAGAACCATAAGCCTTGGTGACTTTCCCCCCAGCTTTTGACTTTATGGTAGGGGCTTCCCCAAGATACTATACTCTCTTGCTTGTAGAAAACCCAGGCAGCTCTGGTGGCTCAAGGCTGCTGTGATTCAAACTAATTTGAGAGCATCTTCGACATTTGTGAGTGCATGCCTAGGAAGACAAGTGCCTTTTAAAGGACACTTAATCCATTAATCAAGAAATAGTCTCATGTGAAGAAGACAATTCTCTGCTCCTATTTAATGGAATTAACAGAGCTGGGGTACATATGTCCCAGGTTGTTTGAGCAGCCTTGTTGGTTTGATGCTCCAACTGGGGTGTCTTTGGACAGTGTTTAGCATAACAGGAAAATTACCTTGAATTAAAAAAAAAGAATTGTTGCTATAATATTTTATATTACCAGATTTTAAAATTTTTTAAATTTATTTATTTATGATAGTCACACACAGAGAGAGAGAGAGAGAGAGAGAGAGGCAGAGACACAGGCAGAGGGAGAAGCAGGCTCCATGCACCGGGAGCCCGATATGGGACTTGATCCCGGGTCTCCAGGATCGCGCCCTGAGCCAAAGGCAGGCGCCAAACCGCTGCGCCACCCAGGGATCCCATATTAGCAGATTTAAAGCAGGAAAGATTGCAAACTTCAATGGCTATAGGGGCCAGGCAGGTGATTTAAATGAGAGGCATGGATCAGGTGAGAGGCAATGGGGACTGGTGGGAACTGCTTAAGCTTCCTCTGTAGGGGATGATTACTTGAGGACTGTAAACCCAGTGATTCCAGAACCTCTGATTTTCCAAGAAGCCAGAACATCAGGTTTTTCTTTTTTAAAATAACTTTATTTTTGTGGACCAGTTATAGATTTACAGAATAATTGCAAAGATAGTACAGAGAGTTCCCATATATCCCTGCACTCGGTTTGTCCTGTTGTTTTCCATGGAACAATTGTAACAATTAATGAGTGAATATTAATACCTTATTATTAAGTATGGCCTACAATTCAGCTATATTTCTTTAGTATTAGCCTAATGTCCTATTGCTTCCCTAGCATCCCATTACATTTACTTGTCTGCTTACACTCCTCTTGACTATGTCAGTTCCTCAGACTTTCCTTGTTTTTACTGGCCATTTTGAGGTGCACTAGTCAGTTATTTTGTGAGGTATCCTTCTGTTAGAATCTGATGTTTTTCACATGACTGGGTTGGGGTTATGTAAGACCTCAGAGGTCAATGTCATTCTTACCACATCACAGGAAGAGCACCTACCATCAACATGACTTAGCACTGTGGATGCTCACCTTGATCACCTGACTGAGGCTGTGTTTGTCAGGTTGGACCACTATAAAGTTACTCTTTTTCCTCCTTTTCCAAAGTATACCCTTTGGAAGGAAGTCAGTATGTGTAGTCCACGCTTAAAGAGTAGGGATTAATGCTCCATCTCCTTGTGGGGTGAATATCTACATAAATTATAAGGATTCTTCACAGATTTGTCTCTTCTCTCCTATTTATTTATTCAGTAATTTATTTTTTAAAAGATTTATTTATTTATTTATTCATGATAGACGGGGGAGAGGGCAGAGACACAGGCAGAGGGAGAAGCAGGCTCCATGCCGAGAGCCCGACGCGGGACTCGATCCTGGGACTCCAGGATGGCGCCCTGGGCCAAAGGCAGGCGCTAAACCACTGAGCCACCCAGGGATCCCCTATTCAGTAATTTATATCTGCATAGACTCCTGGATATTTACTTTATGCTTTGGGTTATACTTCAATACTGCCTTAATTTTGTTATTTTAGTGGTTCCAGCTTTGACCCATGGGAGCTCTTTGTCTGCTCTTGTGCCTCTGACACACAGCCATTGTTGATTTTTTTTTTAGTACTTTCTTGTTTTCTGGTGCTACAAAATGCTCCAGACTCCTCTTATATATATCTCTTGCTTTGGTCATGGTTGCTTTAGTTGGGGAATGGTTAAGAGAAACCAAGATCTTGGTCTAGGTATGGTATGTTCGTTGTTACTGTAGTGTTGTTGTTTCTAGGCCCTCTTTGCTGATGGAGCAAGGAAATATGTGTATACACATACCTATAAATATTTTTATATGTAGCCATATGCATCTATGTTAAGCCAAATATGAGTTCATACCAATATCTCCAACTATAACCTGTCACCACATGGATCATTCTAGCCTACTCCTCTTGCTTATCTGAATACTCTTCAGTATTGAAAAACCTGACTCCCATCACCTGTCATCCATTTGCCTAATTATCTTACCTACAGGCAGGCATTTGCTAACCTTTCTAGATCTTAGACCAATGCTGTCCAATTTTCTGCACTGATAGAAATGCTCTATGTTTGCTTTGTCCAATTCAGTATCAACTTGCCACAAATACAACTGAGTATTTGAAATGTGGCTAGTACAACTGAGGAACTGAATTGTAGATTTTATTTCATTTTAATTGATTTAAGTTTAAGTAGTCACAGGTGGCTTAGTGAACATCATATTAAATGGCATAGCTCTCAGCCATTTTAAAGATACTGGTTTTTCCTTGAGTGAGATAGGAAGCCATGAAGGATTTTGAGCAGGGCAATAGATTGATCCAGCTTACCGTTTTTAGAATGTTACTTGAGGTGCTGTATTAAGAATAAATTGAAGGGGGTTAAGGGCAGAAGTAGAGAGATCTGTCGTAAAGCTGCTGCAATAATGGGGCAAAGAGAGGACAGTGGTTTGAACCAGGGTGATGGCAGTGGGGGTGGAGAGGATTGGTAAGATTCTTGATGTATTTTGAAGCCATGGCCTATGCAAAGTTAATATTCACCAGATACACACTGTATTTGTCATAAAAGCCATGGACTTAAAATTCTTATCTGTTTGTTTCTCTTAAATCTGTTTTCATTTTCTTTAAGCCACTGACTAGGGCAATAGTAAGAGCTTTCACCCTTCTTCTCCAGGCATACCATGTTAAAACCTGATTCCTGACTAGTTTCTCCCTTTATGTATTTGTTTGTTTTTGTGTGTTTATTTATTTATTCAAAGATTTACTTATTTCAGAGAGAGTGGAAAGAAGGGCAGAGGGAGAGAGAAATCTCCAGCAGGCTGACCATGGAGCCCAATGCGGGCTTGATCTCCGACCCTGAGATCATGACCTGAGCCAAAGTTAAGAGTCAGAGGCTTAAATGACTGAGCCATTCAGGCACCCCTCCTTTCTCATATTTTAAAGAGAATGATGCCATGCCTCATCTGCAAGCTGCTACTGTAGGTATAGGGCTGGAATGAAGGAAGATGCACTTTTTGATTATCTTAATTTAAATCATATTCTTCATAAATCCACTATTTTGCTTACGTAAAAATAATTGCCACCTTGGTCTTGGATCAACATTTGGGTGAGTAGGAGGGTGGGAAGGGGCCTCACTGGGTTTCTACTGGCATCATATGTCAGCCTTGTAGGAATTTTATATACCAGCACTGTTCAATAGAAATATAGTATGAGCCACAAATGTAATTTAAAATTTTCTGGTAGCCCAATTAAAAAGCATAAAAAGAAACAGTGAAATTAATTTTAATATACTTTATTTAATCGAGCCTATGAAATATTATCATTTTAACATAATCATATAACATAATCATAATCAATATAAGAAGATACTAGCAAAATATTTTACTTTTTTAAAAATTTGTACTAAGTTTGGCAGTCAGGAGTGTATTTTATACTGATGGCATATCTCAATTCGGACTAGCCATATTCCCAGTGCTCATTAGCACTGGCTGGTGGATAACATATCAGATAGCATGCTATAAACATCTGCTGTATGTTCAGATTTGATGGTGGGGTGGAGAATTAAATTTCTAACTGTCATCATTGGTATCACAGATGCTATTGAAGAATGAATTGAAGAAACATTGTATGGTGTGAGTGGTAGGCAGTCTTGCAAAAACAAGTGAAAAATTAAAATGTATCCCAGATCTACCAAACTCAGATTGGAGAAGTCAGTTTGTAGTTATGTCTAGTCTAATAGTATCTTCAGAAAGCGATCCTGAAATAAACTCTTCCTTAAGAAAATCAAAGCATCACCTTTTCCTTCTTTTGGTCACCAGGAAGGGTTAATTTTCAATTAAGTACTAGAATGAGACTTGTCCCAAGAGGAGGCTTTGGTGTCTCATCAACCTTGAATTGGAGATTCTTTGTCTTAACTGTGTTTTCTGGATCTTTCAGCTGAGGCGGGTCTTTGGAAATTGCCTGCCACCCTTTCCACCAAAGTACTATCTTGCAATGACCGCCTCCATGGCTAATGAGAGAAGGGACCAGCTGGAACAATATTTGCAGAATGGTATGTATTTGGATTTTATTTTTATAGATTTCTTGAGATACAGATCACACACTGTAAAATTCATGCATTTAAAGTGTGCAATACAGGGGCACCAGGGGACTCAGTCAGTTAAGCATCCGCCTTCAGCTCAGGTCATGTTCCCCGGGTCCTGGGATCAAGACCCAGGTCAGGCTCCCTGCTTAGTGGAGAGCCTGCTTCTCTCTCCCACTCCTCCTGCTTGTGCCCACTCTCTCTCTGTCAAATAAATTTTTAAAATCGTTAAAAAAAAATAAATTGTGCAATTCAGTGCTTTTTAGTACATTTACAGAATTGTGTAATCATCCACCATGATCTAACTTGAGAACATTTTTGTCAAAAAGGAACCTCATACCTAATATCATTCACTCCTTAGTCTTCTCCCCCACATACCTCTACCACCCCCATACTAATTTCTTCCTTTATAGATTTGCCTGTTCTGAACATTTAATATAAATGGAATCATACAAAATATGGCCTTGTATTGGTTTTAAAAATACTCTGTTCTCAGATTTGCCCCTGGGTGTTGTATGTTGGCTTTGATTATAGAAGTCAAAGCCATATTACCTGGACTGAGACCGAAATAGAGGGATGAGATGAATTGTTTTCCTGAAAGCTCTCAGCAGATACCAGAGATGTTTATCAGACATGCCAGAAATGCGTTTCTGCCTCTGTCCTTGCCAGGGACCCTCAGAGGTCTGCTGTCCCCTGGTGAGGCTTGCAGGACCATAGTCCCTGCCCATTGCCTGCATCCTATGAACACTGTGCACAGCAAAACTGTGGTTGGCAAAACTGAACCCTCTTAAAGAGAGGGGGTTTGGGAGAAATAGCAAAATTGACATTAAACTATTTAAAGATTTTGAGAAGGAGAAAATAGTATATACACAAAATATTTTAAAAATAGAACTTGTCAGAAGAGTGTACAATGAAAGGTACATTCCCTTCCAGATCAGCCCCACAGGCCTCTAGAAGTACGCACTGTTACAAGCGGCTTATAGATTCCATGGAATAATTTTTTGTGTCTACTGATGTGTATGCATCCCTGTTTGTTAAATACAAATTGAAATGTACTCCATATACTTTTCAGTACCTCTCAAAAACTTTATTCTGAAAGAATTTCTGACTTACAAAAAAGATGCAGAAATAACACACAGAGTTTCTGTAGTCTTCACCCAGATTTCCCAAATGCTAACATTTTACACTTGCTTTACCACCTCTCCTCAATTTCATGAGTATGCATAGGTATATTATATATATATTTTTTGAGAGGCCTGTGTTACACAAGCCACTTTCCCCTTAAATACTTCTGTGTGTGTTCCCTAACATCAAGGACATTCTCTTCTAAACCAGTGTAGTTATCAAAATCAGGTGATTAACACTGATACATGTTAGCTAATCTAGAGACTTTTTTCAAACTACACCAGTTATCTCACTGATATCCTTCATAGCTTAAGAAAAAATGGTAGTTTCTTCTGTGAGTTGATTTTTCCCTCTTAAAATATATATTTTACAGACCATTCTAGATGAGCAATTATAAACTTCTTCAATTATAAACTTATTTCTCATGGCTGCACATATTTCCTTAAAGATAGTAAATAAACATTCTAGAAGTCATTTATTTCCCATTCATTTTTTTGTAATGGAAAATATACCTCTTTCGAACGTGTTAAATAAGCCTTCTCAAACTCAAAATGTAATACCTGTTGAATTTTTCTTCTCTCTTGGTTTGATTTCTCATGTCTTAGTGAAATACTCCTGTAACTATGGGCCTTTTTGCAAGGATCACAGTGCCTAAAGGGTTGCTTTTCTAGACCTGGCCTTTGTGCACTTCATGGGGGTTAGCTCCTGCATCCTCTGGCAAGAGAGAGCAAGGGAACTCAGTGTTGTGACTGAGACCTGGGCTCCAGAGTCAGATCCAGAATCAAATCCTAGGTTTGTACTTCACTGGTTGTGTGACCTTGGTCAAGACATTTATGTTCTCTGAGCTTCAGTGTCTATCTGTAAAATGGAGATAATATTCACCTCAGGGTTTGTTGTGAAAATTAAATGAACTAAAATATACAAGTGCTTAGCATTGTAACTGGTCCTTAACAGTTGCACAGTAAATACTAATTGGATGAACCCTTTTTTCAACAGCTTTCCTCATCTCCAAGAATCCATGCTAATAAGCACACTGTTAATTTGCATATATACTGCATATATTCCAGAAAATAAGACAAGGGCTCCCCCCACCCCCAAGCAGAAAATACCTCCCTTAAAAAAGAGAGAATACCTTTTTTTAAGAAAAGGTTTTATTTATTTATTCATGAGAGACACACAGAGAGAGGCAGAGACACAGGCAGAGGGAGAAGCAGGCTCCATGCAGGGAGCCTGATGCAGGTCTCGATCCCAGGATCCTGGGATCATGACCTGAGCCAAAAGCAAATGTGCAACCACTGAGCCACCCAGGCATCACAAGAGAATACCTTTTATAAAAAGATTCTCATAATATAGAGACTTTCTTTTCCTTATTTTCTTTTGAAAAATGTTGCATTTGGGGGGAAAGATACAACCCCAAATGACTTCAGTAAGTGCTCATTTTGAATGCTGGTAGGAGCTACATCATGAAATCAATTGAAACAGCTACCAAAAAAGCAAGAAAGGAAAGGAAAGAAGGAAGGAGGGGGGAGGGAAGGAAAGAAGGATAGAAGGAAAGAAAGAAAAAAGAGAAAAAGAGAAGAAAGAAAAGGAGAGGGAAGGGAAAGAGAAAGACATTTGCTACAGATTTAGTAAGTATCTAGGTTTGGCTAGAGGGCAGGTTCCAGGAGAGACTATGGGAAGGAGGGTAAGAATTGAGGAAAGCAGGCTGGGGAGCGCCTCATGGGGGAGTCTGGACTCTTCAGGGGAAAGTCTCTGCCCCTCTTCTCTGGCCACAGGACCTGAATATTGGTATCTGAACTTTAAAAACTTCGAGGGTAAATTACTCTTATAGAAGAGTAGAAAACTTTAAGTTTCTATGACAGCCTTCTAATAATTTTTCTGGGGATAACCTATTGAGAGCTTCTGGTAAGAGAGATCCTCTCAATCAGCGTTTCTTGGTTGATTTCAAATTTTCAAATTAAGAAATTGTCTTGCCAAAGTAGAAGTCCAGGTCCAAGTTTTAAGACCTTTTTGCTTTTCACATTAAGTTCATCATCATCCTGGAAGGGCAGCACGCTGGATGGGGAGTGATATGGAGCTGTGGGACTAAAGTGAGACTCCTGGGCCTGATATGATGGGTTTATGTTGCTGTCAAGGCTGCTTTGAGGAGGCAAGCTTTGTGGATTTTCATGTGTTTGACAGGTCATAGCTCCATTGCCCAAGGAGGCAGGGTTGTACTGACAAGACCTTCAGCATTCCCTGGGGGATAGAGCAATTTAACAGAGAAGTCAACTCAGCCCTGTGCTAACTGGATCACCATCTATATTTTTCAGTAACTGTGGACCCAAACATGTTGAGAAGTGATGTCTTCGTTGACTTTTTAAAACTCGTACAGTTGGTAAGTGTGCTATTCTCTTTTTAAGATCATGATTTTACTGCTGGACATGTCTCTTAGTTACCATGTGCATGTTTCTGGCCATTGACCCCACATGGGATAAAATCTATTCGTTCGCAGTAACTGGAGGATGGATCCTATTTTGTTTTGTTTTGGTTTTTGGAGGTTTAGATTCTTGATGGAAAATAAGCATGTCACTCAACCTTGGAACTCATCTTAATTTTTTTTTTGTAAATCATCTTAATTAAGCAGATATCTTTTTAATCCTGTAGCCTAAGCACTGTATATCTCTGGCCATGGGGAAGAGAACCTTTCATCATTAAGGGCCCCCACAACAACTCTGGGACCTTCCATCTCTCGCTGGAATCAAGAGTGCCACAGTAAAGACATCAAGATAGCAATAAGAGCCATCCCAACTGATACTTGTATATTCTCTGCTCCTAACTTTTTTGTAAATGGGTCACAGAGAAAAGTTAGAGATGACATCGTGCAACTCCCTTTCCTTTGTTGGTCTTCAGAACCACTGGCCACTTGCCCTGTAGAGGCTGGAAGTTTGCCAAGTAGGCTTGGTCAGCACACCACTTATTCTTGTTATACACAGGGGAACATGTTTATGCCTACAAGTATGTTCTTGACTGAATGGAAAGCTTTGGGAAGATTGAAGTCATAAGAATAACATGATATTATTGAACCGGATCCCTAACTAAGGGAGGAATGATACTTTGATGGAATTTGTAAGAACTGGGAGCAAATTTCATTTATTCAATTGGTCAATTGTGTAGGTATACTAACTAGATCATTCAACTTGAGAAGTCACCCTGGGGTCTCCCATGGTGTCACTATTCCTATTTTCACATATATTTGATGGCTTAAAAAATATGTGCTTTCTTTTTCTTTGGAAAGTTTGTTGTTGAGGTGTTGATGGTAGTAAAACTCAAACAGCACAAAAAGGCATATAATCCCACCACAAACCTCCAGCACCCCTTTTCAGAGACAACTGTTTCCAATTTAATGTGTGTTCTTTCTACACGTTTCTGTGCATCTACATGTGTTCATATGTATGCATATCCTTTTACAAATAAGCACAAATTCCATGCACTTACAGAGACTGGTTTGTTTAATTCTGCATCTTGCACATTGTTCTCCATCAATACACAGAGGTGCGTTTGGCCTCAATTCTGTCATCTTTTTTGGGCACATTATGGCTTTTGCTTTCAGTGCTCTTTAAAAACCACTCATGGGCTGTCAGTGTTTTGGAGCTTTGTTCTGAGTGCCTTTTTTCTTTTTCTGATAATTTGAAAGATTTCTGCCTGGTTTTAGTTCCGTTAGTGTCTTAGCTTACTTTGCTTCCTCTGATGAGATGTTCCCTCTTGCAAGGGCTTTATTTTTCTCTCTGTTTCTTCTGTCAACTTTGCCAGATGACTTTTATATCTTTGCTATCTTACCTCTTTTTTTGAGGCCTCCATCTGTTCTTTGAGGTCTTAGTTCAGAGAAGCCATATTTTTACTAATATATCTGCCATTGTCATCTCCTTAGTGCCATGGTTTGGGGAATATATTTTTTTACCTTTAGTTGGCCACCATTGCTCCCTCCTTCCCCACAGGAGTTGTGCCAAGGGCTCTTTCTATTTCTTCTCAGGCAATCACTCAGCTTTGGAAGGGGCTGTGCTTTGTGAGCCAGCTGACACACAGTGTTGGAGGGGGGGAGCTAGGGTTGAGGCATTTGACTCTATTATGCTCCTGAATCCTACCTCTTGTTTCTGAGCACTTTCTCTAACGTTCTGCCTGGGGGCTGGGCAGTGTGTCTAGCAGTGAAGCCATAGCTATAGTTCCACACATGACAACCTAGCAATTGAACCCCCTTACTGACTAAGTAGTCTCAGGACTGGCTGAGTAGGTAAGAGTGCAAGGTCAGGAGTGAGATGACCCAGATTTAAAGTTGGGCTGCCCAACTTTCAATTTGTATGGCTTGGGGCAATTTTACTTAGCCTCTTTGTATTTCAGTTTCCCCATCTGTAAAATGGGGAGAATAACCCCTGCCTCACAGGGTCGTTTTGAGAATTCAGTAAGCCTTCAATCTCTCTTTTTAAGGTTTTATTTATTCATGAGAGACACAGAGAGAGGCAGAAATAGTCAGAGGGAGAGGCAGGCTCCCTGTGGGGAACCTGATGCGGGACTCGATCCCCAGGACCCCGGGATCATGACCTGAGCCAAAGGCAGACGCTCAACCACTGAGCCACCCAGGTACTCCCTTCAATCTCTCTTAAATATCTCTTAAAGCACTTAAATATTATCTGGCAAACTTAACACTTAGGAAGTATGTGCTACCATTAGCACCAGTCCTTTCTTCTCTTCCCAACAATGCTGAGAGACTGCTTTCTGCAAAGATAGTGCATCTGCACATTTTTTTGGCCTCCCCTGTCACCAGGTAGTGTGAAATGGGCCTGCAGTTGGGCTCCCTAATCACACTAGGCCCTAGTGATTAACGGCTTTAAGGCAGCTTCTGTGTGACCTACATTCTCTGGCACCTCAACACCCCTGCTTCTCCCCTCCCTGGCCGGGTCTGATTTTCACTACACTTGGCAGCCCCTCTACAAATCCCGTTAGTGGTTCAGGCTCGGGACAATTTTCAACTTCTTCAAGGATGATTTTCCTTCCGCTCATTTTCTGTTTGTCTCCAGAGGAGAGCAGGACAGAAGTAACTTTACTTCTAAAGCTATTTATAAAGGACGTTGATGATTTTTAAAAAGACACTTAAATCAGGAAGGTGGTTCTGTGTTCATCGCGTCCCTGTCCTACTTCATGCTGTCCTTTATCATTCATACGTTGAACAAATGTGTAGTGAATGCCTGCTGTGAGCCAACACTGCTCTGGAGGCTGGGGAGACACCAGTAAATAGCACCCCGTCCAGCTCACAGAGTCTGGGAAACTGTCTTGTTGGGGAAACAAACGTCACTGGGCACAGCACTAAATGTAACAAGTTCTGTGAGACAGGACCACACACCATGCGTGCTATGCTGCTGGGCATGACCCCTCATGGGCTGTCAGTGGGGAAGGTGGGGGCTGTGTCGACCTTTCTGTCCTCTCAACCCCGGTGCAGCATTTGTGAATCCTGCCACTCTGCTTACCCCAGTGTGATGTACAAATATCATTCCGTATGTGTGCCCTGGTGAGAAAAGGGCTGGGACACACTGCCATGGATGAGAGCGTGTCTGGGAGACCTTCTAATGGAAGAGACAATTGAGCTGGAAGATTTCTCGGGTGGGCAGGGAAGTAAGATTATACTCTAGGTTTTTCTTCCCATTAGGGACAAAACAACAAACCACATAGATATCTGGTGGTCTAGAAGACTCAGGACTGATATTAGTAAAAGTGAAGCCAGTAGCCACGTAGTATTGGGGGTGAGTCTACCCCAACTTCCAGCAGATCCTCCCCCTGACTACCTTTCAGGGCCAGGGCGATGTATTGGCAGTAAATAGATGCAGTCAATGCAGGAGAGAGTTGGCTTATGGAGCTTGCAGCAAGATGCTCCTGCAGGACATACAGGAACTGGAGAACTGGAATTAGCAGTGGTGATATGTGGATTTGCTGAATGTGAAAGGAGCCCAAGGAACGGGGATTATTGTAAATTGAGGTAGGAACAGCAGTTGCCTACCTCAGTATACAGACCTACATATCTTTCACTGCTCCTGATAAGTGGTTGACCTGCAGTTGCCAAGTGATTATTGCCATGTAATCACATGCTCCCAGGCCTGGCTCTCCGGGGTCAGCAGTACAAGAGCATCTTCTCTCTGGGCGAGGACATAGGACATTAGAAATGTGAATGTGTGCAACCTCCCTGGCACTCCTCTGAGGAAAGCCTTTATCAAGGATTATCATATGCAAGTTGCAAAAACAAGAGGGGTTTCCCTCCATAGGGTGATTTAATCTGGGGGAGGCCTGGTCTCATTTATCCCCTATAACTTGTGGAAGGAGGTGCTATTAGGATCTCTTGTTCAAGTTAAGTAATGTGTCTGAAGGCACATATCTCATAAGTAAAAGAGCTGGGATCTAAACCCAGGGAGCCTGGATACAGAGCCCCTGCTCCATTGATGTTATGCAATATTTCTAGAATGATGGTAGCTCACCCAGTCCTGCCCTAACCATGTACCGCTTGTTTTATGTCCCTAGACTCCGTTGACTTACTACATTCTATGTTTTTGTTTTTTTTTTTTCATTCTATGTTTTTGCCCTGTGATCACCTTGGAGATAAAGGGAAGTTTGAAAAGTCTTTAGACTAAAGACTTTCTAATGTTCTCAATTCTAAAATTGTAGTGTTTTGTGTCCTTCCTTGTGTGAACAACATGTTTGAGAAAAAGAAGGCTGAGAAGGTATTTGGAGTAGCTTTTGTGTGCCTAGGAAGTTGGGGCAACCTACTGACTTGGGAGGTTTGGTTCACTCTGGCTTTGTTTGGGGGATCCGAGAAGTGACTATTTCCTCACTTCCTCTTGAGAATGTTTATCAATGCCTATGTGATAAAGCTCTCTGAACCTTTGGAGCTGGTGAACGTGCTGAGGTGCTGGCAGGTTAGTGTGTGCCCAGAGGGCATGGAAAGCTCAGTGCCCCTTTCCACATGCCTTGCCTTGTGCATCTTTTCCATTTGGCTGTTTCTGGGTTGTCTTCTTTATAAGAGGGTAATAGAAGGTAAAAAGAGCTTTCCTGAATCCTGTGAGCCATTCCAGAAAATTACCAATCTTGAGGAGGGTATTGTGGGAACCTCTGATTTCTACCCAGTTGGTGAGAAGTGTGGGAGGCCTGGACTTGCTATTGGCTTCTGAAATTGGAGGTGGGCAGTTTTGTGGGATTGAGCCCTTAATTTGTGGTGTCTGTGTTAACTCCAGATAGTTAGTGTCAGAAGTGGTGTGAGTAGAGGAAAACCATGTGAGCAATGTTAAAAGCAGCGTTGGTGGTACAGTGGTGAACATAGCTGCCTTCCATGAGCCAGGCAAGGCTTTGGAGGGTTTTAAGCAAGGGGTGGTGGGACATTTTTAGGTTTGCATTTTTAAAATATTTCTTTGGCTGCTATGAGTGCACTGTAGTGGAGTGAGATGGAGGCCAAGAGGCCACTGCAAGAGTCTAAGGAAAGGAGATGTTAGTTGGGTCTATGGAGCTGGCAGTGGAGATGAAAAGTGGATGGATTCAAGAGATAATAGTGTAAGATGTAAAATATACCCAGCTCAACTTGATTGGATATGAATATTAAAAACATCTTCCTGAGTCTTGTCTTGAATTCTTTATTTCTTATCTGTTGGCGCTCATTCTAATCAAAGGGACATAACTTCCTCCTCATTCCTTCTGCTAACAATAACAAAGCCACATAGCCACCATTTGGGTGTTTGCAGTGAGTGCCGTTCCAAGTTCCACACATTGCTTCTTTGAGTCTTTACCACAGCCCTATGAGGTGGGCATTATTACCACCCTTATTTTCAAGCTGAAGGAGTGAAGAACACAGGGGGCAAATAACCTCTCCAGATTTGCACAAGGTCCCATGTGGTGAGTGTGGGAGCTGGGCTTGGAACCCATTTCTTCACATGGTTCAGCCCAGTCCCTTGGTACCTCTGAGTGCATTGCTTACCCATCTAAAGTTTGGTTTGGGTTGAGAGTTGCACTGAGGTAATATAAATTAATGCTAAGCTTTCCTTTAGAATTTCACCAAAAAGTTGGGCACCTGGGTTGGCTCAGTGGTTGGGCGTCTGCCTTTGGCCCAGGTCGTGATCTTGGGGCCCTGGGATAGAATCCCACATCAGGCTCCCCATAGGAAGCCTGCTTCTCCCTCTGCCTATGTCTCCACCTCTCTCTCCATGTCTCTCATGAATAAATAAATAAAACCTTTAAAAATAAAAAAAGAACCTGGCCAAAAAGCAATAGCATTATTTTCATTCATTTTGAGTGTTATTCTCCTGAGTTAAGACATGTTTGTGATTATAGGTCCCAAAACTTTAAGAACCAACATCTAGGCAAAGCTGTACCTAGAAAGGGACTGTTTGCAATAATTATTTGGGGGGAACCCACAGAAACTTAGTACTTGTAAGTACACTGTAGGGGGTAGTTAAAATGTAAAGTCAAAGCTTACCCTTTGATAATAAAATTAGAAAAAATAAGCTTGTCCCTAATGTGATCGGGCTTTTGAGGTACCTGGGTAGTGCAGTTGAGTTGTTAGAGTCCCCCAGTTCCCTATAAAGCCTGATCTGTTGTATCTGTGAATGCGGTGGAGGTAAGGAAAGGGGAGGTGTTGCCTGTTGCGAGGAGAGGTCCCACTTGGTCTGTGCACCTGAACCCAGCTCTGTGATCTCCAAACAACCTTAGGATGGGTCGTTTGGTTCTTCTCTCCCCCAGCCAGATACCAGGAAGGCAGTAACCAGGGCTGGGTGTGCATTGTCTCGGTAGCTCTGTGTTACTAATATTCTAGCTTAATATAGTTGGCTTAGAATACAGAAAATGATTTGAGTGACTCTTCTCTCCGTTCTCCCCAGGATGATGCGTAACTACTGCCATTCTAAATGCCTAGGAAGGAAGTGAACTCACTGCGTACAGTGGATATGTTGGTGTATTAGAGTTTGATCCTGTCTTAGAACCTGGGCTCAGAAAGGCTGTGACCTGAATCAGCCACCCAGAAATGCAGCAGCCCTGGGGGCTGACAGTATCCCACTTGGGAGGTGCTAGAAAGAGCCCTCCCTGCAACGCAACTGCCCGGGGAGGCTCAGCTGGGCAGCCACTGGCCATGCGTCCTCCTGGGGTCCCTCTCTCTGTGGTACCTGAGCACCAATTTCAGCTTCACGCTTTCCTAGACTCTGCAGGCCTTCCCAGTGTCTCTAACATGTCCTTGACATTGCAGAACGCTCTATCCAAGAACTTCACAGGCCCCCAGATTTGCAGTAGCCTCAAGTGCACACACATCCCCTTGCAGAGTGTATAAGTGCAAGCAAAGCAGGACTGAGCTGGGGGAGCTGGACCTCAGCCGGACACCAACTTACCAGAGAGTGATGTGCTTACTCATTCAGGCCTCATGGTTTGCACACTTCAGAGTTTTGCTATAGCAGAATCATAAATTATTGCAGATTGTGGGCTTTCAGGGATGCCTGCAAATATTCAAAATGAGAATTAAAATCTGAGATGCGGGGATCCCTGGGTGGCGCAGCGGTTTAGCGCCTGCCTTTGGCCCAGAGCGCGATCCTGGAGACCCGGGATCGAGTCCCATGTCGGGCTGGGCTCCCAGTGCATGGAGCCTGCTTCTCCCTCTGCCTGTGTCTCTGCCTCTCTCTCTCTCTCTCTCTCTCTGACTATCATAAATAAATAAATAAAATAAATAATAAATAAATAAATAAAATCTGAGATGCCCCAAGTTCAAGTGGATAGCTTCCCCCCCTCCCCCCCCCCCCCGCCAAAAATGGATGCCTTGTTGTTTGGAAATTATTCAGCGGCACGTCATTGCCTGGTTTTGGCCCCTCCACACCCCTCATCACTGCACCCTGCCCCTCAGAACACCATCCCACAAATCTCTACAGTCAGCTCTGTGTGTTTCTAAAAAAAATTTTTAAAGATTTTATTTATTCATGAGAGACAGAGAGGCAGAGACACAGGCAGAAGGAGAAGCAGGCTCCAATGCAGGGAGCCCGATGCGGGACTTGACCCTGGGACTCCAGAATCACACCCTGAGCCAAAGGCAGGCGCTAAACCGCTGAGCCACCCAGGGATCCCCATTCTGTGTTTCTAAGCACCAGATGCCCCAAGGGTCCAGGTAGAGAAAGATACTGACCATTTCTGCACCATGTACCCCGCTGAAGGGCACTGTGGGGGCTTACTATAATTTCTTTCACTTGCAGGACACATTTAGCATCACTACCAAGACAGCCTCTCTGGATATATTTCTGCCAGATGGAAGGAATATTCAAGTCGAAATTCTAACATCAGATACTGCTGAAAGAGTCCTAGAGGTAAACTTTGTTTAAACTCCAGTTCCAGAACCAAATTTAGGAATCATTCTGTTTGCAAGCAGGGACTAGGATAAGGTTACCTTCCAGAAGCTTCCTGCCTGTCATTTGACTCTGGATGACATATCTGTTGAGATGCTGGGATTTTCTGGGACACTGACGAAGGAATCTGAGACATAGCCAATCATCCAGAGTATCTTTAGTTTTCCTCTCCTTGTGGACATCAACTTCCCAGACATCTTTTTGTCCCTTCCTAAGGCTGCCGTCTGTCACCTGGGACTCAGCCAAGGATGTGCCGTGGAAATATGCCAAGTGCTTTATTAGGGGATGCCTCATAGTTGCGAGCAGGAAAGGGAGTGGAGTCCACATGAGTCTGAAACAGGCCTTACCCAGGTAGGCTGGTGACAGGTTCTGGGAGAAAGTGACAGAGGATTTCTCAAAGGCTGAGAGTTGTGTCCCCTCCTCCCCACCCCCACAGAGAAAACACTGAAACCAACACCCCAGCAGGTCTAATTCTGGGTTCAGAGGGCCAGACCTGCATTCCAGTTGGTTATGTGAAGAGTCTGAGGACAAGACCTGGAGACTGTCCTCCCCATCTTTAGATGGTGGCTGTTACCAGCTCGGTCTCCGGGGCCTTCCCTCCCTTCCCTGGGCATCAAGGGGGCACTGGCTTCTCATACCCACACACTGTTCCCAGGTCCTTTTCCTTTGGAGGGTTTTAGTTCTAATCCTCCAGAGAAGTATCTGAGGCTAGAATATAAAGTTATAAACAGGAGGAAGTCAGAAAGTTTCTAGGGCCTTCCAAGGACAGAATGTTTTTGTGCTGGGGACATGGTACCTGACACATTCTGGGCAGGAAACAAGCCATCCTCCCTGTTGGGTTCCAGCTCTGGAGCTGAGACTATGGGGTGGGTGGAGACCTCTTCCCTGCCGAATGGCTCTTCTTTATAACCTGGAGATCTAAGCTGTCCCATGTCCTCCTGGCCTCCAAAGAGCAGCTTTGTCCCCAGGGTAGGAAATGTCCCTTCTCTAGGATCTTGGCTCAGTCCAAGAGTGATAATTTTGGACCTTCCTTCCTACATAAGTCGCTGCACACAACCTTTCTTTGGCTTCTGGACTGCTGGCCTAGTTGAAAGGGATCAGCAGCCACCTCATCGCCAAGGCCGTCCATTGAGAGGTTACTCTAGGGTCCCCCCTCCTTCACCACCTCCGACTCCCTGAATCCTACTGACCTTGTGTCCCAAATCTCTCCCCTAATAATTTTGTCTTCCCATTTCCTCCTTCCCATCTTCACATCCCCTAATTTGAGCCCTCATTTCTCAGCTAGATTTCTTTCTTTCTTTCTTTCTTTCTTTCTTTCTTTCTTTCTTTCTTTCTTTCCTTTCTTTCCTTTCTTTCCTTTCTTTCCTTTCTTTCCTTTCTTTCCTTTCTTTCCTTTCTTTCCTTTCTTTCCTTTCTTTCCTTTCTTTCTTTCCTTTCTTTCCTTTCTTTCCTTTCTTTCCTTTCTTTCCTTTCTTTCCTTTCTTTCCTTTCTTTCCTTTCTTTCCTTTCTTTCTTTCCTTTCTTTCCTTTCTTTCCTTTCTTTCCTTTCTTTCTTGATTTGTATTTATTTATTCATGAGAGAGACAGACATAGGCAGAGGGAGAAGCAGGCTCCATGCAGGAGCCCGATGCAGGACTCAATCCTAGGACTCCGAGCTCATGACCTGAGCCGAAGGCAGACACTCAACCACTGAGCCACCCAGGTGCCCCTCAGCCAGATTTCTGTAATAGCCCCAAAACTAGTTCCTGCTTCCAGTCTTGCCCATCTTCTATACTGACATCCAGAATGACCTTTTGAAAAGCATCAAAGACCTTTGACATTTAATGCCTTAGGGGATTTATGCAAAAAGAAAAAGAAAAAGCTCTCAACTATAGAGACACCGTTCCCTCAGTTGCCCTCCCAGGGCCTGTGCAGTGGGAGACAGACACTAGTGAAGGGGGAGGACAGTAACGAGGGGCAGACACCTGCAGGGCCAGGCACGCAACCCTGGGGGGCAGATGAGGGACATTAGGTAATTTGGGAAGGGTTGGGGCCGTGGAGATCTGGAAAGCCTGCCCTGCTGGATGTTTTTCACATACTGAGCTCGCTGGCCTGACTCGACGTACCTGCAGCTGAAGGTGGCTGCCCACGGGAGTTGGGGGCCTCCTCTCTGCAGGGCGAGGGCAAGAGCTGGGGTCAAATGGCAGCACTGCCTCGCTGTAGCCATGTGAGTTTGGGTAAGTTGCCTACCTTTCAAGTCAGTGCCTACGTAGTTATAGAAATAGCTCCCGTCCCATCAGCAGTGCGATTACGGTTATTTCTCATTACGGGTGTTGTTATTGATATGGAGGGAATGCCCAGTCAGCACTGAGCAGAGTGGTGAGTCTAGAGTTCCAAAAGCCAGCTATTTGGCCCCGTTCTCCTTGTAACCTATAGCATAAGGTTAGCGAGGTGCATTTGCGATCCGAAACATGTCCTTTCCCTCTCCCAATCACACCGACTTGGGAGAAATCCAAACCCCGGACCCTAACGTCATTAACTTCAGGCAGGTTTACCTGGAGGTTCTGCCCTCGAAGCGGTGGAGTTTGTGTAAAAAGCAAAGTGAGCAGGTGGCCAGGCAGACAGGTGCATTCTCTTCCAGGGCCTGGGAGCTTCTCCAGCATAAACATGTAATTTAAATTTTGTAATTGAAAATCATTGTTTAGGCCTCCTCAAGCCATCTTCCCCTCACTCTCCACCTCACCACCATCCTGCTGCGCTCCTTAAAGAACCAGCAACAAGCTGAAATCTCATTTTGGATTTTTATGTGTTTGCACTAATGTGGTTTTATTGGTGGCGTTTGTGTTTTGAAGTATCCTTAACATTTGCTAAGAAGAAAATATTATTGTGTCTCCTTTTGTCGATGCTTACTCCTTTCAAGAGAAGGTGTGTGTGCTTATGTCTTTATAAATTATAAAAGGCTTCTCCATCCTTCCCCCCTGCTCCTTTATCAGCCCTGGCACGTAAGCTTACTGTTTTCACTGAACAAGTCAGAGAAGAGAGAAATTGAATCTGAATGGATATGGATCACACTGGAAAAGACGTCTTTGCAGTCCGTTACCTTCCAGCACACACTCACCCTGCACAGGAACGCTGTGTTTGGGCTTGGGGTCTATGCTTGGGCACGTGGCTGGGTGACGTAGAATGGGACAAGCCTTGACTGAACATGTGAAAAGTTCCCAGGCTCTTCTTTATTTTCAAAGCTAGGCCAAGAGCACCCACTCATATCATCCACCTAGTAAGCCTGTCTCATGAGGTAGTTTACAGACCTCTGACAAGAAAAGTACCCCTTCGAGCCTCATGTTTGTACAACTGCCACCTTGAGAACTCATATTTGTACAACTGCCAAACATGTTAAATGCATCAGCTCACGCACACGGCTGCAAAGGTGAACCGAGTGTCACGGAGGTGGTCTAGTGAATTCAGAGTGTGCAAGCGAAGAAATCACTCTGGAGCCCTGTCTTCAAGAGGGAAGGTCTGGGTGGGTAAAGGCAGGGAGAACCTGTGGTGGCATGGATGTTTCTGCTAAGGGAAGGTGAGTGAGCATAAGACAGAAGGTTTTAGCCTTGAGACCTGCTGGCAAAAATGAAGCCATTGGTGTTGAAATGAAAGCTGTTGGACATAAAGGCCAGGGAGGAACATGAAATGAGAGTGACCTGTGCCTGGGACCTGAGGTGTCACCGAGCAATATAAACGCCATATAAATTAGACTAGGAGACCATCACAGGAGACCCCAGACAGAAGCAGGCTGGGGAGTCAAAGCCAGACAATAGCTTGTACACTTTTATATGCCAGCAAGGAGTGGGGAACATCCCTCCTCCCAATGTCTGATAATCCAGCCCATGGGCAGGCAGATTGGTACGGGGGCTCCAGTGGCAGATACCACAGAAGGACAGACTTGCATGGAGACTGGCTGCTGCCCTCCAGTGGACTGGGAGACACGTGTGTCTGAGATGGGACAACCAGCCTCAGCAGACGCCAGTTCGTGTACGTTGTGTTAGGGCTGATTTTTGCTTTCTTCCTTCTAATTTTCTTAATATTTAAATTTTGTAAAACTAGGATTATCATTTCTAGATTCAGAAGAGATTACTTTTAATGCCCACTGCCCATTAAAGTACTTTTTATCGATGTTTACAGGCAATTTCTAATTCTCCACATCGTTAGCATGGCCGACACCCCTAATTTTTCTTGTCTTTGGTTAAAGGTGGTGTCACACAAAATTGGACTGTGTCAGGAGCTCTTGGGCTACTTTGGCCTGTTTCTCATTCAGTGTTGCAAAGAGGGCAAGTTCTCTGGTAAGGAGAGAAGGGGGAGGCAGGGCAGCCAGGAGAAGGGGTGGGCTGCTGTGGGCTGGTGCTCAGATTCATGAGATGCAGGAGATATAGCTGAGTGGGGGTGCCGTTCTCAGCCTGTGGATCGAAAGCTGGGAGAGGGAGGGGGCACCTGGGTGGCTCAATGGTGGAGCCTCTGCCTTTGGCTCAGGTTGTGACCCTGGGGTCCTGGGATCGATTCTCCTATCAGGCTCCCTGCTTCTCCCTCTGCCTATGTCTCTGCCTCTCTGTGTGTGTCTCTCATGAATAAATAAATAAAATCTTAAGCAAAAAAGTTGGGGGAGGGGAAGTTGGGGATGAGCAACTCCAGAGAGGTAGAATGGACAGTAGCAAGATGTCAGATCCTTTCAGCAACTGCACTTTGTCTTGTACCAGCACCAGCCCTGGGCCTAATGTCCACCTCACTTTTACCCTGGCGCCCTGGCTGCAGACCACCAGCCATCCCACAACCCCCTCAAAAATGGAGTGCTAGACCCCAGGTGTCAGGACATCCCATCACACCATCACTCCTCCTTGTTAAGGAATGTTGGTGAGAAAATGTGGATGCTCTAAGTTCTTAGATTTTTAAAGAACATGTAATGAGTTAGTGAAAGATGATAGATGATTCACATAGTTTTTGCTTTTCTCTATAGACATTCTTCTAAGACATTGTAAGTTATTTACTTGTAAAATGGTATCAATTATCTGAAGGCAGCTTACGTATGTTCTCCAGAAGCTGCAGTGGTTTTGAGTTGGAAGTTAAGGATTTGTATGATGGCTTGGACACTGAGATCTGAGGTACACTGAGCTGTCTGGAGGTACACTGAGCTGTCAGGTTCACGGTGTAAAACACCTCCTACTAAAGGCATTGATAGGGCAGCCCCGGTAGCACAGCGGTTTAGCGCCACCTGTATGTAGCCCAGGGCATGATCCTGGAGACCCTGGATCGAGTCCCACATCAGGCTCTCTGTATGGTGCCTGCTCCTCCCTCTGCCTGTGTCTCTGCCTCTCTCTCTCTCTCTCTCTCTGTCTCTATGAATAAATAAGATTTAAAAAAAAATAAAGGTATTGATATTTTATGAGGATCAAATGCTATTTATCTTTTTTTTAAAGATTTTACTTATTCATTCATTCAGAGACACAGAGAAAGATAAATATCTTTTGAAGGAATTTCAGAAAGTTAAAAATTGTGTACAAGTGCAGGAGAATATTATCGTTGTGATTTTAGCATTTCCAGTGGTAATGCTTTCTCACTTCAAAGCCTCTGTATGTAAACTATTTGTGCCTTTTCAACCAGTAAGACTCCCTTCTCCTTTCTCTAGTCATGAAAAAATTGGTGGACTTTGAACTGCCTTATGTGAGTCTTCTAAGTGCTAAAGTGGAAGACTGCAAAGTGGGACTCAGGAAGTGGTAAGCATTTACAGTGATGGTACGTATTTGAGGATGTTTTAGATTCCTGTTGAGAATTTGTTGGTCTTACCCTGTCAGCTCACAACCTAACAGCTAGAGAGAGACCAAGAACTTGGGGATGGTTGTGAGGAGGGCAGTAAAGAAGAGAAAGTGGAGAATGAACCAGAATATTTGTCCTAAACAATAGGATGTTGAGGATGACTTTCACTTGTCTCCAGTAAGTACTTGAGGGATATTGTTATGAAGACGGTGGCCCACTGAGGTGGGGATGGAAGCAGGAATGATGAGAAACTGCAGGTTGTGGGCTTGCTTTGGAATGAATTATCGACAGTATTAATTGAAGGGATTTGTTGATGATTACAAGCACGTGTGATTCATCTGTTGCGCTGTAGTATTCCCTAAAGCAAAGAGTGGACTCAGCCAACTTGCAGTGAATTTGAGTAGATTACTCTTAAGTATTCAGCTTGCATCCTAAAGGATTCCAACAATAAATGCATATAAATCAGGGCCAGCTACACTCCCAGGCTGATTGAACACCTTGCAGAAAAATACCACCCTTTCTCTCAGAAACAAGAAGCCTTTTGGCAAGGATACAAACAGAGAATAACAGGAAGCACCCCACATATATCCTATAATCTGTACTTCCCAGTGTTTATTACCGTGGCTGTATTAGATTGCTTCTTGGGTTCACCCTCTCCCAGCCCAGCTTTTCTGTAATCTGAGCACAAAAGTTTTAAAGAAAGGCATTTGTAATCTAGGAATAGTAGCTATCTTGACCTTGTGATGATGATGTGCTTAGCACTCCAGTCCGTAGTTGTGAATTTTGGAAGGATATCCTAGGCAAGGCTAAAAGTTCATACACTGCTATTCAGATGTATTCTGAAAAGCTGTCAAAGTCTGTGGCATGGAACCCTGAGAAGGGGAAAAGGGAAAACCCTTCAATGTTCCATTTAAGTGTTTCTGGAAGCTGCTTAGTATAATAAGTGGCTGAGCATCATTGTTCCTAGGTTTGGAGTATGTGAATCTAAATCCCAGCCCTCTCAAAATTTAGCTAAATAATCTTAGCCAAGTTACTCAAGCTCACTAAGGCTCAGCTTCTTTATCTGTAAAATGGGAATAATAGTAAGAGTCTACCTCATACAATTAGTATGAGGGTTAAATAAAGTACTTCCATATGCTCAATAAATTTTGGTCTTGTTTGTTACTGTTATATTAAGAATAATATTAATAATAGTAATAACAATAACAACAGAAATCCCTGGAGCTTAGATAGCTTGGCTCATGGGCTTTCCAGAGAACTTGACATTAAGACATGAGGATTTTGTTCCTCACCTTGAAGCCTTAACTGGAAACTGGGCTTTGCCTGTGTCTTCATTAAATAGGTATATTCTAGAGCATCAGTGCAAGAGAAAATGTCATTCATATGTCAGCTTCCTGGATGCAGGCAGATTGCCTTTACTTATGGGAACTGGGAAGAAAGGAGGTCCCACTCCAGCTGTTAAGGTGAGGGTCAAGTCATGTGGGGTGGAGAGCCTGGAGGAGGACCCTGAGGGTACATGGTCTTCTTACCTGGAAAAGTCTAACCGAATGAGAGCAGGGAGGCTAGCCTGGCTGCCATGAGCTGTGGCATTCCCAGCAGGTGAAGCATCACAATGAAGCCTATAGGGCCAGAGTTTTGAGGATTTTTCTCTGTCCAAGAATTCTCTGGCCCATCTCTCCAATTTGATATGGTTCCTTCCAGACTGGAGGGAACCCTCTCAGAGCCCAGTGTGGGATGGGTCTCGGGGCTCTCTAGCTTTGACACAAGTTGCTATTCTGTGCCACAGAGAATAGGGTGCATGTGCTGCATGGCCAATTAGCTTAATAGAATATAACAGAATGCTTCAGTTGCTTCTTTCCACACCCTCCACGAGGAAGGTGATCTTCAAGTTACATTCTCATCATCTCCTAGTTCATTCCAATCCCATTATTCTATAATCATACACTTCTAAGTACAGTGATTCTGCTTACCCCTGCCTTCAGATAGGTTTAGACCAGCTGCAATGAACTCTTTCCTGACGGTTCCTATCAATTCCTAGCAGCTCCTGTGCTTATACAGGAACTATGATTTCAGTTTATCCTGGAGATTCTGAATCCTTTAGACAGACTTCAAACTCTGCCACTTGCAAAAGTCTTTGCAAAAGTCCAGAGGGGCAACTCCAAATGCAGTCCCTACATTTCTGGTGTCAAGATCAACCTGATGAGAGCAGTGGTCAGGACAAGTTCAGGGTTCTAAGGAAGCACAGAATGGAGCAGAATCTTGGGGAGATATGTGACAATGCCAGGATAGGCAGATAAGCCAGGAAGGGAGGCAGGTGAGGGCAGTGGTCTTCTAGGCAGAGGAAAGGAGAGCAAACATGGTTAGGATACAGAGTGTGAAGGGGGGAGGTGGGTCATAGGTGGAATTGAACATGAAAGCTAGGTGTTCCAGGACGGGCACCACGGAAATGAGCAGGTTGGGTGATCTAACTTGTCAGACTATGAGAAACGGGACTGTGGACCATCTTCCATCAGCTTTATTGTTTGGCATCTTTACTTTTCAAGTCCACCAGGTGAGAGTTTACAGTGAAAGGAAAACAGGTGACAAAAGTGGAGGAACAAACTGAAAGCAAGGCAAGGGAAGGGGTGTTAGTGCGGGCTCAGTTTAAAGTGTAGAGGGCCACCCCTTCAGAGAGCACTCACGCCCAGGTGTGCCTGTTGGCCATGTCATTGGATGAACTCAATGCTCCTGAATTGTGCAGGTACATGGACCCATCCCTGGACTCTGTGCTGATGGACTCTGCAGCAGCGGTAGCTTTGATCTATATGCAGGTAAGGGTCACTGAGGACTCAAACACCATATGTTACTGACCATTCAGGATTGAAGCCATTGGAAAAAATGTATGATAGCTAAGAATCCTAGCTCCCTAGAATAGGCAAATTTACAGAGACTAGAAGTACAATATAAGTTATTAGGGGCAGGGAGTTATAGTCTAATAGGTACAGAATTTTTGCTAGAGATACTATAAAAAAAGTAGGTATAGACACTGTTGACAGTTAAGCAACATTCTGAATGTTTTTAGTGCCACTGAATCGTACACTTAAAAATGGTTAAAATGAGGGGCACCTGGGCGGCTCAGTCAGTTAAGTGGCCAAGTCTTGATTTTGGCTCAGGTCATGATCTCAGTGTTATGGGATAGAGCCCTGTGTCAGGCTCCACACTCAGCAAGGAATCTGCTTGAGATTCTCCCTCCCTCTCCCTCTGCCTTTCCCCCAGGTAGAGAGAGAGGGAGAAATATTTTTTTAAAAAACAAAGGCAAGTGGCGGGATGAGCACTGGGTGTTATTCTGTATGTTGGTAAATTGAACACCAATAAAAAATAAATTTATTATAAAAAAAAAAGGCAAGGACAGTGTGGCAGGTTTCCCCTTTATATTTAAAAAGCAAAGGCTCACCTTTGAAGAAACACGAACATTCTGTATTACCTCGTAAACAACAACCAGGGGCTTGCTTTATGTACCCAGACAGGAAGCCCCTCGGTTTCTTACTAAGCTGTATCCAAAAGGACTGCCTCACCCAGGCCAAGGGGCAGCTGAAGGCAGGAGAAATCATCAAATGCCTCAGAAGTGCAAGTACTGCTGCGTATTTCAGCAGGCGAGGTCAGCATGGCCTGGGCTTGCGCCAAGCACAACTGTCCTACAGCAGGTAGGACAGTTACCTACCTGTCCTTAGGTAGGTAAACACTGCTTACCTGGCAGTGTTTTTACTTAGTGTCCTACAGAATCATGGGGTCAGAATCAGTGGTGCATTCAGTCTGACAAAGTAGAGCATCATTTACGCCTCTCTCTCCCCCCCCCACGACTGGACCGCTGGCCTCACGCGGGGACTGTGGCTTTTCCAGTGTGGGGTGGAACACCTGGGTGTGTCACCAAGCATACACACGGAGCCCGGCAGCTGGTGTCGATGAGAAGTCACAGCCCTAATGTCCACTGCTGCTCATGTTACTTTTTTAAGAGACCAAGGCGATCTAATAAATCGTCTTCACAAAGCTCTTCTAAATTCTAAGGAGGTAAACCTTAAAATGATAAAAATATCACTTCTTAAGTGGTCAGTGTTCACTGTTGTAGTTCAATGGCTAGAATATAGTTTTGAGTTCATTTCTTTTTTCTTTTTTCTTTTTTTTAGATTTTATTTATTTATTCATGAAAGACACAGAAAGATACAGAGACACAGGCAGAGGGAGAAATAGGCTCCTTGCAGGGAACCCAAGGCAGGACTCGATCCCAGGACCCCAGGACCACAACCTGAGCCAAAGGCAGATGCTCAACCACTGAGCCATCCAAGCGTTCCTTAGTTCATTTTTTTTTTAATTTTTTTTGTTTGTTTATTTATGATAGTCACAGAGAGAGAGAGAGAGAAAGGCAGAGACACAGGCAGAGGGAGAAGCAGGCTGCATGCACCGGGAGCCCGACGTGGGATTCGATCCCGGATCTCCAGGATCGCGCCCTGGGCCAAAGGCAGGAGCCAAACCGCTGCGCCACCCAGGGATCCCCCTTAGTTCATTTCTTATCATATTTTGATCCTCTGTGATTAAACCCATGTTGCATGAGTTGGGATATAATTTACCATTTTAAACGTTTGACGAGGCTCACTGCTGTTGTATCCTTGCTATTCTAGTGTGTTATTAGTTGTGTCTGATCTATGTGATACCACGTCCTTGGTGGAGGATGCATCACCTAGTTCGACTATTGTCCTGGTGGGAAATAGTCTTTCTGGCCTGGTTTCCAGGTCCATTGTGGTGAGAAATAGGAGGGGCCAGCATCTTCATAGGAAATTTATCTGTCTTCATCAAGGAGCTGTAAACCAGAGAGAAATGGACTGTATTTCCTCTGCTTATAGCTGGGGGGGGGGGGGGGGGGGAGGGATGTGGGGGGGGTAGATGGCTTCATGGAAAGCACGCCAAATTCAGTTTCAAAAATGTATTCTGGCCCTTGCTGTGCCGCTGGCTGCCTCTCTGCATGATCTCGGCCGGCCGCCACTTCATCCTTCTGAACCTAGAACTACAACATCCCCCTGTTAAGCGATGAGATTGAATGAACAATTTCTAAGTTTTCTCTCAGCTTGAATAGACTGTTATTCAAACTGTAGCTCTTTGGCCAAGTCTTCAAATGAGTATAGTTGGTGTTATAATAATCTATGCCATTATCATCATTATTCTCATTGTTGGCTCTATCCAGGCAGAGGTACTGAGAATTCAGCCCCAGGGAGTCAGAACCACAATTGCAGCCTCTTTTGAGGAAACTTTTCTCAGCTCCCCTGGAAAGAAAATGCCTTCCTCCCTCTCTGCTCCCCTGGTATTTTGTTTATACCCTCCATTGTGGTGCTTGTCACCCCATCTTGTAAATACTGTTCACATGCATATTTGCCTAGCTAGACTCTGAATGGCCCAGGGCAGAGACTGTCCTGGGAGCTTAGGATGCATGAAGGTGTGAGAAGCAACGATCCTTTTAAAAAGTTAATGCGGAACTCTTATGAGTTCTTCTGATAAATAACGATGCCATCATAATTAACTACTAAGGGAAACCCTTTGGATTTTTCTAAAGCAGCTGTGCCCCAGGATGTCTTAGGAGCCAAGTGGACTCCCACAACACGTTCCCTTTCTTTTTCTTTTTGAAAATTTGAGTGATATTAACAAAATGGAAGATTGCATATAATTTTCTGAGTTTTCTCAAAAATATTGAGACTTGGTCAATTCTGGGCCTGTATTGCAGCACCACTGGCCAGTATGGTAACTTTATGCAAATTAGAACAAGGGGTCCCTTCTTTCAGGCAGACCTAGCCCCGTGTCAGAGCCCATGGCTCAGTGAAGGGAGTGTTGGGTTGACCATTAACCTCCCCAGAGCTCCGTGGCCCTGGCTTTGCTTAGCCATACTTCAACCAGCTGGAGCCAAGAGGCAGATCCCTTCCTCTCCATATCTCACTGCTGTACCTCTGCAGGGGTGACAGGGATATGTGTGATTGAAGCTCATTAAACCCACGGCTTAGGTGATCTCACTCGATTTAAAAAATTAGGTTCTACATAAGTCTCCAGCAGCCAGTCTTTGGAGAGCCATAGAACTGAGTAGAGCCATTTGTCTAAATCTGACTCTCATTGTTAGAGTGAGGTACTGTATGCCGTGTATTTGATGACTCGTGTGCCCCTAATCAGGGTCAAATCTTTTCAAAGGTGGTGAAACAAAAGCAGTCTGTTCCTGCTGATGTAGGGCATTTAAATCTCTGTGTCGGAGAGCCCCAGGTCCCCTCATGCTGAATGACATATCTTCAGTGAGTCCTTACTGTTGTGACTGCCACTACCTTCTTTAGCCATGCGCTCCCTTTGATAACACTGCCCTGAGATAACAGCCCCTTTATAGGACTCTACCAAGTAGAATTCAGGAACGAAAAAGGCGTTCCCTTTTTCACCCCCATATTGATCCCATTCTGGCATGGTGTCTAGGTTCAGTTTTGAGAATAGTTGGTGATGGGAGGAAAGTCACGGGATGGGTAGTGACCTACATGCTCAGAGTCAGCAGCTTGGGCAAGGACAGGAGGACTTGGTGCAGCAGCCAGATTATTTTTGTTGTTGTTGTTGTTTCTGAAGTTTTTATTTTTTCACGAGGGACACAGAGAGAGAGGCAGAGACCTAGGCAGAGGGAGAAGCAGGCTCCCTGTGGGGAGTGCAATGCAGGACTCAATCCCAGGACCCCAGGATCATGGCATGAGCCAAAACCAGATTCTCAACCACTGAGCCACCCAGGAGCCCCCAAATTGGGGTTTTAGGCCCTTGCTTGCCACTTAAACTTTGTGGGCCGTCTTGGAAGGCATAACCTCTCTGGACCTCAATTTGCCCATACTACCACACAGAATAGTTTGGAAAAACTCAATAAGAAAACCTATCTAAAACAAGTTCTGAACAAGTATTAGTGGTTTTTCTTCTCCTCTCTAAATCCTTCCCCCCACTCTAAATACCAAAATCAAAACTTTATTCAGCTCTTCATTCTCCATTTGGAGATAAGGCATAACCAATAGCAAACACTGAGGGGTGGAACACAAAAACTTGCATTCAGACTAAGGTGTAAATATGTACTTGACAGCTGGCAAAGAATTTTTGAGTGTTTGCTCAGTTATCTTGGACAAGCTACATCGAGGTGGAAGACTCAGGGTTTTTCCCTTGAGGGGTTAACAGGCTAACTGAAGACCAATGGAAAACTTTTAAAAAATATGATAAATGGAAGCAGCACAAGCTAATATACCAGTTCAAACCCCATCAGTTCTGGGGACACCTGGCTGGCTCAGTGGTTGAGCATCTGCCTTTGGCTCAGATTGGAATCCCAGGATCCTGGAATAGAGTCCCACATCGGGTTCCCTGCAGGGAACCTGCTTCTCCCTCTGCCTATGTCTCTTCCTCTCTCTGTGTGTCTCTCATGAATAAATAAATAAAATCTTTAAAAAAATAAAATAAAATCCGTTCTGTATGGAACTTCCTGTTTTTCTAAACACTTGCTGGCTCCAAATATTGTATATTTTCTTTGCCAAGTGGAGAGGCAAAAGAATAAAAAATAAGAAATTATTGATTTCTAGTGAGGTTGAATATAGATTTGGAATTTGGAATTCCTTTTTGTTAATTGCTGATACATATTCCTTGTTTATATTTTTCCTCTTGCTTTACATAAATAATGCTGACTTTTTCCCACATATGATGCAGTCATTTTCTCTAGTTTGCCATTTACTTCTTAGTCTTGTTCTTGTCCGTTCTCAGGTACAGAAGTTTTATATTTTCATGTAATTAAATATCCCTTTATATCTTAAATATAATATTCCTTACCTCAAGATCAGGTATTTTTTCTGATTTTTTTTTTTTTTTTTTTTTTACATCTAAACCTTTTTCTGGATTTATTTGATTGGGTGGTGTGGGGAAAGAGCTAACTTTAGCTCTCCCAAATGTGGCCAATTGTCCTCAACCATTGAACAATCTCTTCCTACACCCACTAATTTAAAAAGTAACCTTTATAACATGCAAAACCCTTACATATGTCCACTTGGGTCGGCTGCTATAGCTTTTCATACATGAGTGTGTTTCTGCCAGATTAATTCATTTCTGCAAAGGTTGCTAATCTTACAACTTCTGTCATTTTCAGGCAGTTCAGGACATGGAAAAAGAATGGGCCAAACCCACACAGGTGCAGAGGCAGAAATTAGAGGCTCTCCAGAAAGAAGACAATCAAACAAAGGTAAATCAGATATTGCACCAAGAGAAATCCCTTGGAGGGGAGTTGAAGAAACATACTAGAACTGAGCTGTTTCTTAGTTTATAAACCCATCAACCACTAAAAATGGGCTTCTTTTAAAAAATGAGAAAAGCATCATTGATTTTTCTGATTATATTATTTAAAGATTCTGAAAAATACAATAGACTGTGGTGAACCCCTGGCCTGGTTCATGTAGACCCTCAGCGTTATTTTTAATGACCACAGAGTATTCTGTCTTAGAGTTATCATTTAGCTAACCAATTTCTGATTATTAGAAATCCAGTGGTTTCCTGCTATAAATCACTTTGGCAGTGAGCACCATGAGGCCCAGGACTGTGCCTAATTTATACACACCCTGTGTGTTCCCAACACCTGGTACAGTTTTGAGCTGAAGGTCCCTGAAGACACAGCCAGCATCCTCCGTCTTTGAGTACATGTTTTATTGTTTCTTAGAATATATTTCTAATCCATTTTTAAAGCTTCCATAAAGATCATACCAATTCACACTCCCCGTCCCCAAGCAGTGATGCAAGTCTGACGAACAAGGCACATTTTAATGAAGAAATGGACTCTGCTTCATTGTGTTGTCTTCTTTGCCAGTGTTCACCACTTTGCCAATGTTCACTCATTTATCTTAAACAAAAATGCAAACAAAATTTAGAGGACTCGTTTATACCTAAATTGATACAGAAAATCATTCTTTGGAAGCTCAGATATCTTGAGAATTTTACTGATAGGCAGGATAAAAAAAAGAAAAAAGCATATACAGCCATTATTTAATATTTTCCTCCTTGGTATTTCGCCTCAGTGTTGTCATGAAAATTTTGGAGTTCAATTTCAATTATAGTATGTATGTATGTATGTATGTATTTATTTATTTATTTATTTATTTTATTTATGATAGTCACATAGAGAGAGAGAGAGAGGCAGAGACACAGGCAGAGGGAGAAGCAGGCTCCACGCACTGGGAGCCCGATGTGGGACTCGATCCCGGGTCTCCAGGATCGTGCCCTGGGCCAAAGGCAGGCGCCAAACCGCTGCGCCACCCAGGGATCCCTATAGTATTTATTTTAATGGATATAATATTTGGGTATAATCAGATACATCAGCTTCTTTAGATATAATTACAGTTCCAAAGTGCATTTCTACTCCATAAACTTTTTAACTTAATAATTTAGTAAGAAGATTGCTTTTACTATGTGCTATACTCTGCCGAAATTTATATTTGTATTTTTGACACAAAATAAATTTTATTTTCTCTGATGAATTTTTTTGTGTGTGTTTCATATCTTTATTTTTATTTTTTTATAAATTTATTTTTTATTGGTGTTCAATTTGCCAACATATAGAATAACACCCAGTGCTCATCCCATCAAGTGCCCCCCTCAGTGCCCGTCACCCAGTCATCCCCACTCCCTGCCCACCTCCCCTTCTACCACCCCTGGTTCGTTTCTCAGAGTTAGGAGTCTCTCATGTTCTGTCTCCTTTTCTGATATTTCCCACTCATTTTTTTCTCCTTTCCCCACTGATAAATGTTTTACCTGATTTTACCATACTATTTGTAATAGTCATTTAAAAAAAAAATTTAGGGATCCCTGGGTGGCGCAGCAGTTTGGCGCCTGCCTTTGGCCCAGGGCACGATCCTGGAGACCCGGGATCGAATCCCACATCGGGCTCCCAGTGCGTGGAGCCTGCTTCTCCCTCTGCCTGTGTCTCTGCCTCTCTCTCTCTCTGTGTGTGACTATCATAAATAAATAAAAATTAAAAAAATATAAAAAAATAAAAATAAAACAAAAATTTACTGAGTACATGAATTAGATGAAAAAAAAGCTGAACCAAATTAACTCTTACTCTCTTGAAGCATCTCAGGATACTGACATAAAACCAGAATTATTTAAGTGTTTATGAAGTTCTTCTCCTGATAATAGATCCAACACATTAACAAGCAATAGTGCTTTACTTTATGTACATGTGCAAGAAAACCTGTAGTTAAAAATGAGTGAAATTAATTTAAAGGAGCAACTAGTTGATCTAAATCACAGGCTAACTACACCCCATAGGCTGTTTTTGTAAATACAATTTTATTGGCACACAGCCACGCTCACTCATTTATGTACTGTCCAAGGCTGCTTTTTGTGCTAGAATGATAGAGGTGATAGTTGCAATAAAGACCATATTCCCGCAAAACTGAAAATATTTACTGTATGGCTATTTTATAGAAAAGTTTGCCATCCCTTGATCTAAATGAAAACGTACGAACATCCCTTCTCCAGTTATGCATGTTAAATTATCTTTCAGGAGAAAGTTTCTTTAAAAAACTAAAACTAATTTTCTTAAAAAAAAAAAAAACTAATCCTTGCAGATTTCTTTTAGTTTGCATATGGTCAGTAACATCGCTGCACTGCTTGTTGAATGACAAACGCCAACAAGTATTTTGAACGAGTTACTAATTTATCACTGACTTTCTAGAGAAATGGAGCTTGACTTTTAAATACTCTTCTTGCTTTTAGAGCATTGCAGCCAAGTTGATTACAAAAAGTTTTTAAAAGTGTTACCAAGTGATAAGATAAAGATCTGTATCATATAATAAATAAGAAGCCATTGTAGCAAGAGCTTGAAACTGCTCTGTGTGCTGTGTGCAAAATTACTCAGCCCCTACCCCACCGCTGCATGTAGCATAACTCAGGACCTGTCATTTCTGCTGTTTCCCATTGACCCAAAGGGAAGCCGGGCAGTGTAATGCCTTTCCGAAGTTGAATGTGTGGGCCACAGCACAATGAGCTGCTACAACGTGTGGCTTGAAGGGACAGAAGCCCCAAACACCTCTCCCACCTTGTAGTAGCAGTCAGCTGTTCCTCCCTTCTCAGGTCTCAGCACGTTTCACTTTTAAAAGAGAGTGCTTCATATAGTCTTTGAAAGGACTTGTTTTCCTTCCAAAAAGGATCTAGAAAGTGCCAGGTTGTCACTGAGTGATCTTCTTTCTGATTTAACCATGTGTTAAAGTGAGAACTCCCTTTTCTTCATGCACATCTCTCACAGCAACAGGCAGGACCATGGTGAAAGCTGGAAGAACAAGGCAGACATCCAAGCTGATATCAGCTTATTAAAAGGCAATGTTAAGAATAACACTTTGTTACAAAAATGAAAAGCCTGGACTAGAAGTCAGGACAGGATGCCTGGACCACACGTGTGAACTGCAGCTGTCCTCTGTTCTTAAGCCAAGTCAGAAACAGAGCAAAAGGGGGCACCTGAGTGGTTTAATCAGTTAGGCACCCGACTCTTGATTTCCGCTCAGATCATGATCTCAGGGTTGTGAGACTGAGTCCTGCATTGGGCTGGAGGTTGCTTAGGATTCTCTCTTTCTCTGCCCTTCCCTCCCTTAAAAAAAAAAAAAAAAAAAAAAAAAAGAGGGAAAAGCTAAACCTTAACAGTCACATAAAGGTGTACCCTTGACATTTTTGAGCTGTCTATAACTAGACTTAGAAAGCAGACTCGCTCTCTCATTTCATTGCCATTTGTAAAATCTCTTCCTTTGACAATTCATACCATCATCATATAAAGCAGGCTGTAAAAATTAACTACTTTATTCCTACATAGACCTCAGCTTAGTTTTTTAAAAAGTAGCCTTCCTTTCCTTTCCTTTCCTTTCCTTTCCTTTCCTTTCCTTTCCTTTCCTTTCCTTTCCTTTCCTTTTCCTTTCCTTTTCCTTTCCTTTTCCTTTCCTTTTCCTTTCCTTTTCCTTTCCTTTCCTTTCCTTTCCTTTCCTTTCTTGGAGACTACATATCCAACATGGGGCTTGACTCACGATCCTGAGATCAAGAGTCACATGCTCTACCAACAAAGCCAGCCAGGCACCCCAGCAGCACCCCAACAGCATTTTATCTATTTATTAAAATTTTTATTTATAAAAAATATTTATTTATTTATTTATTTATTTATTTATTTATTTATTTGAGACAGTGTGCAAGGAGGAGAGAGAGAGATGGTTGGGGGACGGGGGAGCAGCAGAGAGAGGGAGAAGCAGTCTCTGTACTGAGCATGGAGCCGATGCAGAGTTCAATCCCAGGACCCTGAGATCATGACCTGACCCGAAACCAAAAATTGGATGCTTAACCAATTGAGCCACCCAGGCACCCCCCAAACAGCATTTTAAATGTACACATTTTGTTTATTTTGCTATTTTTAATCTGCTGCAATAGACTCCTATCTACTCATTTGATTCACTCTATTCTTCTCCATTTATCATTCTCTCACTGAATATTTTTGTTCCTACTGTGTACCAAGCACTGTAACAGGAGCAGAGACACAATGGTGAATGAGACAGAAATGGTTCGACCCTGGCAAGACACACCATGAACTTCCCCAGGCCTTATTGTCAGGGAGCATAAGGGACATTGTCTTCATGTGAATCATCCAGAAGAAAAAGGCGCTTTGACTGTGGCTTAATTCCATGTGTTCTAGTAGAATGACAATAGCTTCTAACATAAGGTTGTCACCTTTTTCAAGTAGTCTTTTGCTTCTTTTGCCCTACCTTTACCCCTGGAGCAGTTTTTGGAGCTATCCCAAGAGGTACGGCACTATGGGTTCTTGCAGCTGGATCCCTGTACCTGTGACTACCCGGAACCCGGCTGCAGGGCCGTCCTTTCTGTTGGCAATAATGAGATCAGCTGCTGCATAACCCTGCCTGATAACCAGACCCAGGAAATCATTTTCCAGATGAACAGAGTGAAGTGCTGGCAGGTCACTTTCCTTGTGAGTATCTTGGCACTTTGCCTTACCTATGATTTAAAATCTCTACCCATAGTGTAAAAATCCTATTGACTTTGGATGACAAAGTCGGCAGTAGCGAGAGTGATCTGCCATTTGCATCACAACCTTGAGTGGACTGGCATCTAGGCCACATTAAGCATCACCTAATGGTAAAACCTGTCTATTGTCTGGTATGAGTGTCCCATCCATATCAGTAGACACCCATCTCCCCACTTTACAGCAACAGACTTCTCTACTGCTTGAAGGGTGTCTATAGTAATAGAGCACAGTGAAACAAAGACTACTGTTTACTGAGTACTTACTACATACTCAGTATTGACTAGATCTCTACCCTTGGAAACTGGACACTGAACAGTAGAGCTCTCCTTAAGGATCATACTTACATTGCCATCTCCTCCCAGAGGAAACCCCATGATCAGATGTGTTGAGTGGCTGCTTTGGATCAGATGCTGTTCTGGCACTGCCACATCTATTATTATTTAATTAAATTCTTGCGGTAACTCAGGGAGCTAAGTGGGATTATCCCCTTTATACAAGAAACTGAGGTTAACTAGTAGAGGACAAATTCTGTTAGAACAACCGTGACCCCCCAGTTGCTAAATCCATGGAATCCATGGGGATTTTTTAGCTGGCACAATACTAGACCTCCCTGTGGCATTCAGTGTTGTCAACCATTTCCTCCTTCTCAGAATTCCCTCCCCTTTCTCCCCTGTCCTTTTTGGGCTTCCTCTTCCTCTGAGCATTTCTGAAGGCTCATTTCTCCTGGGGTTCCATTTGCATCTTTCCTCTACATATTCTCTTGAATCAGTCGCCTACATCCCTGTCAAAAGGTCCAGTATTTCTTAATGCTGGATTGTCTACACTGCATGTCTCACAGACATCCCAAACTTAGCCTTTTCCCAAACCAAACTCATCCTCACCCTCTCAGGATTTCCCCCACTGTGTTCCCTGATTTTGGTAAACAGGACTTCTAACACCTGCTAAATGCCAAACCAGCAATCTTGACATTATCAGCATATGACTTCAGTCTTTGAAACTTATGGGAACTCGTTTTATGGCCCCAAATCTGGTCTATCTTGGTAAGTGTTCCACATACACTTGAGAAGAATGTGTATGTGTATTCTTCCATGATTGGGTGCAGTATTCTTTAAGTTGAGCAGTTGAGAGCGTTCAGATCTCCTGAAACCTTATACATTTTCTCCTTGTTCCACCAGTTACTGATAGAAGAGGAATGTTAAAACCCTAAAACCTAATTGTGGGTTTGTCTATTTCTTTGAGGTTCAGTTTTCCCCCTTCTTTTCCTTCCTTCTTTTGATTAGGCATTTTATGAACCCATTTATTTACACCATTTTTTTTGGTATGCCCTTTCATTTATTTTCAGTTACTTTAGACTTTATTATGTACTTCTTGTGAACTTATTACATTCCACTTTCAATTATATCACTTCATAAAAAATGTAAAAACAATGTATTTCTATTTTCCCTTTTGTGATATTTATTGCCATATTTCTACATATATAAGCCTCCTGCTACATTATAATTATTTTTGCTTTTAAACAGTTGATTATTTTTAGTTAAACTTTTAGTTTTGATGTAACTGTAGGTTCCCATGTAGTTAGAAGAAATGGTACAGAAATCCTGGGTACACATCACCCACTTCTCTCCAATTGTTATATCTTGCAAACTTATAGCACAACATCAACACCAGAATGTTGGCCTTGGTACAAGCAATGTTTTCATCATCTGAAGAACCTCTCACATCAGCCTTTATAGCTGTGCCCACTTTCTCTTGTCACACCTCTTGTTAGCCCCAAGGAACCGCTCCTTGTGTCATTTCAGGAGTGTTGTGTAAAATTTTTGAAAGTGATGGATATATTCATTATTTTTATTGTGGTCCTGGTGATGTAGGAAAGACATTAGGGTTTGAAGCCGATGGCTAAGAATTCTTGAGATGTCTTTGGAGCAAAAAGGTGGTTTTTATTAAAGCAAGGAGACAGGACCCGTGGGCAGAAAGAGCTGTACTGGGGTCATGGGAAGTGGCCCATTATGTACTTTCAAGATAGGAGGGGTTAGGGATAGCATAAGACTCTAAGGAATTTTGGAAGCAAGTTTTCCAGGACCTTGAGGGGACTAGATATTGTTAGGAAAAGGTCATTTGTTACCATCTAATAAAACCTGGGCCATGAGACCCTTCAGACATATATCTGTGGGTCATATACTTGGAGGATGATTGCCAACTTGTATCTTTGGGGTGGGTAGATACAAAGAAAATTTCCAAAGGAATTATTACATGTTAAAGTAGACTTACAGGAATCTGGGAATCAGACTAAGGTTGCCTTTTGCCCTTAGCAAAGTATTAACATCGAGGCAGTTGAGTCCCTAGAGGAAGGTCACTCTGCCTGTTTCAAGGACTGTAGGCAGTAAGGATATTTAATAATTTTTCTTATGCCTTTGTTTCCATATCAATGATTTCATGAATGTATGCATATGTCTGAACTCATCAAATTGTATACATTAAATATGTGCAGGGTTTTTTTTTACATCAATTATACCTCAAGAAAACTGTTTAAAAAAAAAAACAGAAACATTCCTAAAACAAGGTTATGTATTGATCAGTTGATGAAATATTGTGACCAGAGGTTTGCAGGAATGTAACCCTGCATTTCCCTGGAAATGTCCAGTAGTGCAGTGTTTGTAGTGACTTTACAGAACACGACTGCTGTGAATAATAAGAATTGGCTGCATTTAGGAGGCAAAAACATAAATAAAAACAAGGGCTTGATTAAAAATGTTCTATAGGGGATCCCTGGGTGGCGCAGCGGTTTGGCGCTTGCCTTTGGCCCAGGGCGCGATCCTGGAGACCCGGGATCGAATCCCACGTCGGGCTCCCGGTGCATGGAGCCTGCTTCTCCCTCTGCCTGTGTCTCTGCCTCTCTCTCTCTATCTCTCTGTGACTATCATAAATAAATAAAAATTAAAAAAAAATGTTCTATAAATGGAATCAGATGTAGCCTTTAGGATTGGCTTTTTTTACTCAGCATAATTCTCTGGTAGTTCATTCAGGTTGTTGTTTATATTAGTAGTTTGGTTCTTTTTATTGCTGAGCAGTATTCCATGGCATGGAAGGAAGATTTATTTAACCACTCACTCAATGAAAGATACCTGGTTGTTTCCAGTTTTTAGTTATTATGAATAAAGCTCCTATAAATATTTATACATATGTTTTAGAGCACAAATCTGCATTTCTCTGGCATAAATGTTCAGAAGTACAATTGTGGGTTACATGGAAGTTGCATGCTTAGTTTTTTAGGAAACTGCTAAACAGCTTTCAAGAGTGGCTGTGCTAATTTCCATTCCCACCAGGGATGCATGAGTGATCTAGTTTCTCTGCATCCTCATCAGCATTTGGTGTTGTCACTGTTTTTTTAGTTTAGTCATTCTGTAAGTGTGGGATGGTATTTTTTTTTAAAGATTTCATTTATTAAAAAAAAAAAAGAAAAAAGAAAAAAAAAGATTTCATTTATTCTTGAGAGACACATAGAGGCAGAGACCAGGCAGAGGGAGAACCAGGCTCCCCGAGGGAAGCCTGATGTGGAACTTGATCATAGGACCCTGGGATCAAGCCCTGAACCGAAGGCAGACAGATGCTCAATCACTGAGCCATCTCTCTGAGGCATCTCTCACTCTGCAGTTTTTCATCCTCCTAACAGGATCTTGTGCAAAGCAAAAGTTTTTAATTTTGATGAATTCTAATTCATCAGTTTTTCCTTTTATAGATTGTGCTTTAGTGTCGAGACTAAGAACTCTTTGCCAAACCCTAGATCCTAAAGAATTTTTTCTTAGAGTTTTTCCCTAAAGGTTTTACAGTTATAGGTCATACATTTAAGTCCATGATTCATTCTGAGTTAATTTTCATGTAGGGTGTGAAAGACAGCACAACGTTCCCTTTTTTGCATGTGGAAATCTACTTGCTCCAGCACTATTTGTTGCAAATCCTGTCCTTTAACTGAATTGCTTTTATACCTTTGTCAGATATCAATTGGGCATATTTGTGTGGATTTATTTCTGGATTCTCTCTCCTCTTCTATGATGCATGTATCTGTCCCTTCACCAGTACTACACAGTCATTCCCTTCCTTTGTAACAGCTTTATCAAGATATAATTCACATGCCATACAATTGATTTACATAAAGCATATAATTCAGGGGCATTTAGCACATTCACAGAGTTTTGCATCCATCACCACAATCAATTTTAGAATACTCTCATCACCTCAGAAAGAAGCCCTGTATCCCTTAGCTCATATGTATTCCCCCATTCCTACTAGCCCTAAGAAGCCACTAATCTTGTCTTTTCAGGTTTATCCATGCTGAACATTTCATGATTAATGGAGTCAAACATGATCTTTGTGACTGGCTTTCTTTACTTATTAGCATAACATTACCAAGGTCCACTCTTATCGTAGCATGTATTAACACTTTATCTTTTTTCATGGCCAAATAATATTTTGTTGTATGGATATACAAAATTTTGTTTATTTATTCATTCATTTTTTAATATTTTATTTATTTATTCATGAGAAACAGAGAGAGAGAGAGAGAGAGGCAGAGACACAGGCACAGAGAGAAGCAGGCTCCATGCAGGGAGCCTGACGTGGGACTTGATCCCAGGTCTCCAGGATCACGCCCTGGGCTGAAGGCAGATGCTCAACCGCTGAGCCACCCAGGTGTCCCTATTTGTTCATTCATTAATGAACACTTGGGTTGTTTCTATCTTTCAATTGTTGCGAGTTACACTGCTATGAACATTTGTATACAAGTTTTTGTGTGGACATAGGTTTTCATTTCTCTTGGGTATATGATTAGGAGTGGAATTACTGGTACCATGGTGGTAATTCTATTTCTAACTTTGTGAGGAACTTCTAGACTATTTTCCAGATAGTCTGCTCCATTTTATGTGCCCACCAGCAGCGTATGAGGGTTCTTCCCACACATGCACAGATCGTTATTCAGCCAAAGATCTGAAAAGCGCTCTCTGGAGCTCTGAACTCTACATAAAAGTCCTTGTCTGTGGTCTTCTGCCCCACAAATTCTAAACTCAACTTCCTCAAACTTTTATCTCTTTCTCTTCAACTTGGCAAGACCTCTGGGCTTTATTTGGGTTCACTGGTCCTGCACTGTATCCTGGAAACTCCTCCAGGCAGTAAACTAGGTAACTCTAGGGCTCACCTCATTTGTTTGCCTTCTCGCTCAGTGTCTGAGAACAGTTATTTTTCAGTTCATTTTTTACTCTGATGCTGCCAGATGAAGATTTCTAAAATATAAAGCTAATTATTATTCAGCTTTTAAAATCAGTTAATGCATGCCTGTTGTTCTCAAATGAAGTTCAGACTCCTTAACTTAGCTTATAAAACCTGTAACAGCTAGTGCTCTTTGGTGGCCAGCAATAGAAAGCAACACTTCTGGCTCTAGTGAAAAAGGGATATTTATTGGAGCGGTATGGAATACCCACTGACTTAAAGGAAGGCAGAAGCAGAGGCTTAGGAAAGTCAAGAACCAAAGGAGCTCAAGGTTTCTAGGAAACAAGGAATTCTTTATCAGGACCTGCTCTTTGGATCTCTTCATTCTGGAATCAAATAAGGGGCATATAGGGCATCTATCCAAGTGGCCTGAACTTGGGTCGTATGCCCCACCCCCTCCAGGAGGGTAGCATTCACTAATAGTCCTACCTACCTACATGGACCCAGTGGAAGGCAGAAGGTTTTCCCAAGGGCATTTGAGACTCCATTACTGGGAAAAAGAGGGATAGCTGCTGTATAGCAAAAATCAGAGCTGCTTCCTACAGAGCCCTCAGGATCTGGCCCCATGCTGCCTTTCTGAACTTCTTCACTCACTGCCCTGCCTGACTTGCAGCCCGTGCTTTAGCCACACTCAATCCCTTGCCACATCTCCACTGTGCCAGGTCCTCTTGTACCTCAATGCATTTGCACTTGTTATTTCTCCTACCAGGAACCACTTGTCACCACCCCTGCCTCTACCCCCCTCCAAAAAACCCACAACAACAAACTTGGAAAATGTCTACTCCTGCTGCTCAGATACCACCCCCCTTAGGAGGCCTGCTTTACCCTCCTAGTCTGGATTAGGTGCCCATCTTACCTCCTTCCATAGACCTGTTTGCTTCCCTTTAATACTTATCATACCAAACTGATGACTTAATTTCATAGGCCCTCATAGACTAATAGCTTCTTGGGCATAGTAACAGGATCACTTGTTTTGGTGTTTTGCCCAGCACTTAATAGTCACTTCAATTTCTATTGGATATCAAATAATATCTTTTCTCTATAGGGGAGTCTGCTGGATATGGATGGACCCCAGAGAACTCTCAACCAGAACTTAGAGCTCAGATTTCAGTATAATGAAGATAGCCGCTGGCAGTGGTTTGTTATTTACACCAAACAGGTGAGTTATCAGGGCAGAGCATGAGTACCAGTGCTGAAATGCCCTCTTGCTTGCTAGGATGAACATAACACATTACCCTAACCCAACAGGAGCAGAGTACTAGAATATAATATACACTTTCTTTTTTGACCTATAATACTGTTTTTTTTGTTTATTTTTCATTTTGTTTTATTTGACTAGTAGTCACCACAGCCTTTGTATCAATTAGATATGAATTGAGTTACTAAATAACAGAAGACTCAATAATGACTTAGTCCAAAGGTACTTGAACTTTTTCTCAAAGGGCCAGATGGTAAATATTTTAGTTCTGGGGTCCATGTGGTATCTGTTGCAACCACCCAATTCTGTTGTGGTAGCGCAAAAATAGCCACAGACAATCTGTGAACAAATGATTATAGCTGTTTTCCAGTAAAAATTTGTAAAAACAAGTAAAGGGTTGGATTTATTGACCTCTAACTTAGACAATACAGATTTTTATCTCAATAAGAATACTGGAAGTAGATGATTGACATCCCTTTGGTGTGGAAGGCAAAAGCTTTGCCTCAGAAGCCCCCAGTAGACTTTCCATTATGTCTCATTGGCCAAGACTGAGTCACATGACCACTCCTAGCTCAAGGCAGTCTGGGAATCAAGTATTTAGGAAAAAAGAACAGAATTCATGATCAACTTAGAGTAAGCATGAGCTGGGCTCTTTGTCATCAGACAAAATCAAGGTTCTATTAGGAGAGGAGAGATTGCTGGACACCAAACTATTTAGGTCTTCCATTGGTTTATAAAGTTGGAATAAAAGTTTTTAAAAAAGATTCAATTTTCTAAACACCAAATTCAGCTGAAAAATTCTATGAACGAATTCAAGCAACTTCAAATTGAAATCAAAACTGCAAATGTTCTAAAACAAAACCAAAATATCAAAGTAATCTTTGTGTCAGCATTTCATTCAGCTTAAGTCGCTGGTGATCACACTAAGTTCCTTTGCGCATTCTGGCTTCAGGTAACCAAAGCTCCCCAAAACTCTCTACTTTTAGTATAGGTACAATCATGAGGTAATAGATACCAAGGTCCTCTGAAAAACACGAAGTGCTAAACCAAATTCTAGGTTAAAGAAATGGGCCGTCAGGTTCACCTTGAATATGAAACATCCTTAGGGAAATGGTAGGATGGTTTGCAGTCACTTGGAGAGATGCAGATAGATTTTGGCAGTGAAACCACCTACCCTTGCCCAGAATGCTAAATTCAGTAGTTAAATTTTATTATGGTCCTTTAATCTAGTCTGTACCAAATGAGTTTAAGCCACTATAGAGAGTGCAATAAACATTCTTTTAAAGGATTCCTGGTAAGGTCTTATTTCCTTTGGAGTGTGGGTTTATTGATATGTACCCGAAGAGCTACTTCTGCAAAATGCAGAAGTGTGGCTTGTGTGCCTTTCAAATACAAATGAGGGCTTGGACCCCAATATTTTCTAAACCCTTTCTTTAAACAATGGCTCAGTGCCTTTATATTCAAGAAACCTTACCTTACCTGGTTCATAGCCAAGTCTTAACCTACATATCTGTGCACATTGTATAAGAATATGGATCCAGTCCACATCTTGGGGGGCATTATTAAACACCTTTCCTAGCTTTATCAATGCTGGTTATGTGGTTCAACTATTTCATACCCTGGTTTTGTGTAGGTTCTATATATGCACAGATGAACAGGGTTAGTTCTTAGCTAAACCAAGAAATCAAAATTTGTTTTTGTGTGTAAATCCCACATCTTTTATTCTTTCCCTATTGGTAGTAGTGCCTTTCTTCTACCTGCTTTCTCTCCCCTTAAATAAATTCCTGTCAAGTCTACAGCCCTGCAAGACTTTGAGATGACTACCTATATGTAGCCATTCTCCCTCTAGTTCTACTTTCTATGTCCTACCCTCCACAATCCCAACCTGGATTTTCTGTCTCTTTCCTTTCTCCTCCTCTCCATCACCCCTTCCCTTCAGTGCCGTATATAAGTTTATATAGTATCAATTTGTGCTATAAATTTATAGTAATGTCCTATAGCCTCAAGCTTTGAGCTTTAGTTGTCTCAAATGTTAGTAGGGCGAAAAGAGAAGTATGCAAGCCAAGAATTGAGAGCAGGACAAAGGAGAGAGAGGTTGAATGGGAAAGGAGCAAGTGGGGAAATTGTAGGAAACCTTAAATTGGGACATGGAGTGAAGATCCTGGAAAAAAGGAAACCCCAGCTTTTGTGTAGTAGGGTGTCTACTGTGTATCCTGGCACCAACAGTGATGAGCCAACAAAAAGCCACAGATGATATCAGGGGCAACCATCAGTCTTAAAAGTGAATGATTAAAGATACCATAAAAACAAGAAAGTGATAAAAAACCATTTTTTTTAGTTCAGTAAAAGCCATAAGGTGCTAATATACCCTTTCAAACAGGTTACCATTTATGCCTAGTAATAGGTCTCTCAATAATTATGCATACAATTAAATGTAAGATCAATCATCATCGGTTGATTTGATTACAATAATAAGCAGGGTTTTTACAGTTATTTGTTGCTTGTAAAACAGCTGCTTACAAAGTAACAGGAAAAATAGGAAGGGAAGTTTTAAGAGGGAAAAAGATAGTAAATGTAATGAGTTCTCTGTCTTTTTAAAAATTGACTGTAAGTATATCCATCTAATTGAGAAAATATATGGGTACTTGCTAATTGCATCTTATGCTAATTTATGGAAATTAAAGAAGACATCTAAATTCTTAAAGGCATAGGATTGGAGAGCAGAGCTCAAAATCTGCTTTATGGTGTGAGGAGGGAAGAAAGACAAGTTCTCTTTAATTAAGAGATTTCTTTATTCCTGGATTCTTTAGGCTTTTTTGCTGAGTAGCTGCCTGAAAAAGATGATCTCAGAAAAGATGGTAAAGCTAGCTGCAGAGAATCCAGAAATGGCAAGTTCTCTTTATCTGTGTATATTTTTCACCTTAAGTTCCTACCATTAGCCAGCACTAACCTACATGGATAAATTCTGGTCCTCAAGGGAGGAACCCAACCTCCCAGAAGTGAGCTCCTCTGCCTTCTGCAAGCTGTCTTTAGAATTCAATCTGTTTTTTCCAAGGAGAAGGGTCCTTACGTTGCTCTGTATTCTTGAATCTCTGCTTTCCCCCAAATGGAAGATTACAGATTTACCATAAAAACTACATCATAAAGTCAGGATCCTGAGAGGTCTTTAACACAGCAGCGATGAACTTAAATAAGCTCTATCATTTTGTCTCTAGAAAGAACTCAGCTTCTTGAAACTTCTGTGCCAAATTAAAATGCCATTAGGGGTTGAAAGAAGCCATAGAATAAAAGAAGCTCTCAAGGCTATACATTTTTCTGAGTGTAAAATAAATTTTGCCTCTCTAGTCTCTTCAATAAAGGCCTAGTAACCCATTGAAAGGGTTGGTGGCAGGCAGTAAAAAGAGACACTGAGATTTTAAACTTTTCTACTTGCCTTGTCACCATCATGATGCAAGCATATTCCAAGTAAGACAGTACACTTGGAGTTTAAAAATGTTAACAAATACTAATGCCTGGTTGACATTTATAAACATAATTTTTTTTTGCAGAATGTTATACTGATATTTTAAAAATGCAACAGAACATATTTGAAAATGTTCCCTAATGTTTTCATTTAAATTGAGTCCTTTAAAAGAAGATAGGTGACATCTTTAGTTTAACGTTGTTCATTACTAGACTTTGCAGCTTTTTTCTAAGAAAATAGTTACATTTTATCCTATTTCTCTTCCTTCTAGAACTGAAAATATTTTCCTAGGGAAAATAAAATTTACTCCCTCTTGGTATTTGAACAATTCAAAAATGTACTGTAGAAGCAAATCAAAGCAACAAAAGAATTGTGGATGCTCTTTTTAAAAAGAGGTCATAAAATCTAACCTCTTAGGCAGAATGGACCCCCTTAGGCTCCAATTATTATATATATAAAAAGAAGAAGAAAAAGTGGTTAACTGAAGTAGCCCCATTAAAAGGGAGAAGTACTCTCAAATGTGGGTGAATAAAATATAAGCTACCTACTTCATGCAGGAGATACATGAACAGTGAATAGCTAGCTAAAGAGTTTACTAAATAATAGAAGGTAGTGACTTATTTAAAGTTTTCAAAAAAAAAAAAAACAAAAAACAAAACAACCAATCACTGTAACTACATTCTTCATATTTGCACACAAATTGAAACCTATACTTTCTCTGGGGCCGATAGTGAAATCAGCATATTACTCGCTATTGCATTGCTTTATCCAAATACTCAACAAATTTTATTTCTGTGAGCTTTTTTTTTTTTTTTTCTTATTTTGGGTCTTGAAAAGTTAAGACCCTTTCTCTGGAAAACTGAATTTTGGGGGCACTTGAGTGGCTCATTTGGTTAAGCATCTCTTGTTTTCAGCTCAGGTCATGATCCTTGGGGTCATGGGATGGAGCCACGCATTGCCTCGGGCTTTGCACTCAGCAAGAGCAGGAGGGGTGTCTGCTTGAGATTCTCTCCCCCTCTCTCCCTCTTGCTCTCTCTCTCTCTAAAACAAATAATAAAAAAATAAAAACAAATTTTTTAAAAGGAAATTAGGTTTTCAAGGAGATGTTGTAGGGATAGTCCACATTTCAACCTGAAATTTCATCTGCAAACCCCTGGGTGAAATGAAACCCTGGAAAGTGAAGAGAGCAGACAGGTCAGCTCTTTGAGTGTATACTGAGTTCCAGCTTCCTCACAAAGCACAGTTGACCAGAACAAGTCATTCTGTGGAACTCAAAGTAGCCATGTGAATGTATGACTGTGATATTCACTAGTTTTATAGGTAAATACATAAAGTCTAAACTGACATGTATCACTTATAAAGGGGGACTAGGGACTTATAAAAGGGACTGAGATCTATAGGTCTCTATTTTGCAAGGCAGAATAGACTCCAAGATTTTGATTATCATGAAGAATCTGGAGAGGGGGAGAGAAATTAAGGAACTTATAACCAGATAAACCCCATAAATAAAGCAGATAGTCCCTAGAAGGAGATTAAATAGTATTATTTTATCCTAGTAAGAAGAAAGGCTTTGAAGAAGCAATTTAGTGCTAATTTAACTTAGCTATAGGCAATGCTTTCAAAGGTAAGACTTGAACCATTTCTGAAGAGATTATTAAAATTTGAAATCAAATAAATGTACTAAACAATGTAAATACACAACAAAATTATCTTAGTCTTTTTTTTAAATTTTATTTATTTATTCATGAGAGACACAGAGAGAGGCAGAGACACAGGCGGAGGGAGAAGCAGACTCCATGAAGGGAGCCTGACGTGGGTCTTGATCCCAGATCTCCAGAATCATGCCCTGGGCTGAAGGCAGTGCTAAACTGCTAAGCCACCTGGGCTGCCCTCATCCTACAGTCTTAAAGGCAGTATTAACTGTAAACCTGAAGGGAAACAAATCATAACATTCTTTTAAAGCTATGCTCCTATGCAAAAACCTTTAATAAATGTTTATTATTTGCTCCTTTTAACTAGAACAGAATTTTAAGAATGATTTTATTTGAAAATAAACTGTATGTGTTGGTAGTAGGTTTGGCTATATATAATGAAGAACAAAAAACAAGACAGAAGTGTCCTAGATAAAACAGAAGTTTGTCTCTTTCTCATCTAAAAGAAACCCAGAGCTAGTCAGTCTAAGGCTGGGATGGTGGCTCCATTATATCACCAGAGACCTTTCTGCTCGGCCATCTTCAGTTTGTGACTTTTGCCTCATGTTGAAAATGGCTGCTGGAGCTCCAGTCATTATTTCCACATTCTAGGCAGCAAGTATGAATGGATATGAATGGCTCACCTCTCTTCTTTAAGAAGGGATCTCCAAAGTCCCACAGATTTTCATCTTATGGCTCATTGGCCAAAAGTTAGTCACACCCCAGGCCTACACCTAGCTGCAAGGGAGTCTGGTAAACACTGTCTTTTTAGAGGGTAGTTGTCTCTCCAAATATATTTGGGTGGTATTACTAAGAAAGAAGGGCAGAATAGATATTAAAGTAGGCTATCAGCAATCTCTGCCATTGAAAGAAATCTAAAAGACATCAAGAAAAGAAAGCAGATGTATTTTATGCAATAGATGTGCTCCTATGAGTGTATCATTGTCATTATCTTATATATTGAACTGTAATCTAAATATATGAGAGGTATCAGGAAAAGATGGTGACTAATTTTCTGAACTGAAAAAAAATTTCTATTTTTAATAATCCACACCTAGTTTATCTGTATATTTTTTCCTCAGGTTTACTCAAAAAGAGGTTCTGAATATCCAAATTGGTTTTCTGGAAAATGACAACCAAATGGCTTTCTGATTTTGGCTTGCCTCATACCTCTATCCCCAATGCCAACTAACATCACCATATGTATTTTTCTTTCCATTACTATTTCATTTGGGGCAAGATCAGACTATGTAAAAGGCCAGTGGGCTCAGAAATCATGCTTTAAAGTATGTTTCTGTCACATGGTGAGGAGGGGAAACAGCAAGGGCAGTGTTATGTCCCAGGAATGTCAGCTTTTGAACCCTTGGCACTGTCTAGAAAACAGAAAAAGTACAGATATATCCCAGCCCATTTGAGAAAGATCTGAGCATAGCAGGTGGACAAAACTTTAGAGAGCTGGGAGAAATTACCATGTGGGAGTAGATAGGCAGATTATTAAAAGAAACTACCTGTTGATGAAGAAGAACGTATAAGAATACTGCATTATGAAAAAAAAAAAGATTTGCTCTCTCCTCCAACAACTTTATCCCCCCAGTATATAAAATATTTAAAGCCCTTCTTGATGTAAGTCAAGGATACAGATTGTATCAGAAATTGCTTACCATTCATAGTGGGTTCTATTTTATTTATTTCAACATAGGAAGGGGAGGAAGGTGAAGGAGAATAGGAGAGAGAAAGATTCTGAGCTGTTTTCACTAACTCTGTATTTCATTGCACGAGAATACTTACAGGCTGTAATGTAATATTGTAAGCAATGACAGTAATATTAGCAACATACGTAAGACAACAGAGCATTAATTTCTCATTTACCAAGACTTAATAACAAATTTTTAAAAATATTTTATGTATTTATTTGAGAGAGAGAGAGAATGTGAGCGGGCAGTGGGGCAGAGGGAGAGGGAAGGGAGAGAATATCAAACAGCCTCTGCACTGAGCGCAGAGCTGATGTGGGGCTCAATCTCATAACCCTGAGATCATGACCTAAGCCAAAACCAGAGTCAGACGCTTAATGGACTGAGCCACCTGAGCATCCCTAATAACTAGTTTTTAAAAAATTATTAGTTAGGCTTCAAAGATATGAACATTTCTATTAAGAATACCAACCTTGAGGAAGTCCTTTGTGTCTTTCAAAGCAATTTTTTTAAAAGATTTTATTTGACACAGAGCACAAGCAGGGGGAGCAGCAGGCAGAGGGAGAGGGAGAAGCAGGCTCTCCCCTGAACCAGGGAGCCAGATGCAGGGCTCCATCCCAGGACCCTGAGATCATGACCGAGCCAAAGGCAGATGCTTAGCTGACTGAGTCACCCAAGTACCCTTCCTCCAAAGCAATCTGTTTTATAACAGTATTAAGTTAACTGGAGTTTAAAGACCATGCCCTTTTGCAATGTCATGTTATTTATCCCACTTATTTTGAAATGTTCCTCTCTATATTCTCATGAATAAGAAACAATGATAAACAACTAAGTCTCACTTCATCCTTTCATTTACAAATACCTCTATTTACCATGCAATTGTTGGAGATTTGAGGATCCAGAGTCAAGGAGTTTGTTGGAGGAGAAAGGCAATTAGTAAGGAGATAGTTATGGCCATTGAGTGGTAAGTTGAGCCATGCACATCATGCTAATTGCTTCATAAGAGTGTTCTTTTCCTGTAGGAAGAGTAGAAGAACTCTTCCTCCTGAACCCTGCCTAGATGATGCTTCCTGGCTGTGCCAGACACTACTCGCTTTTCTGGGTTCTCTGACTCCACCCTGCTCTGTGCTCTGATCTCTGTGTGCTGCTACCTTGCTCTCTGACCCACGGGAAAACCCAGCAAGACTGGATGGAGTGTGGAAGAAAAGTGAGATTGGGGGATTTATTTCTCCACTTCTGTCCCTGCTGGGTTTCTGTGGCTGGCGCAGCCTTCTGCTGAAGGCCAGGCTCTTGGAGGCAGCCTCTTCCTCTCTGCAGCTTTCGCTCTCCTCATTCCAGTACCAGCTGCCACCCATGACCCTTCAGGCCTAGGAATGGTAAAATTTCCCCGTGAGCCCCTCACTGCCCCTGGGATCTCCAACATCCCTTCATGGACTCACTTTAATCCTGTCTGCACTGCCATTAAATAGTTCCTTTTTTTTTTTTTAAGATTTTATTTATTTGTTCATGAGAGACACAGGCAGAGGGAGAAGCAGGCTCCCTGCAGGGAGCCCAAAGTGGGATTCTATCCCAGAACCCTGGGATCAAAGGCAGACACTCAACCATGAGCCACCCAGGTGCCCCAAATAGTTTCTTTTTAAAACGCTCCTCAGGAGTGTGCCATCTGTTTTCTGCTGGGTCCCTGTTATATTAAGTTTACCTTATGCATATGAGGTATATTCAAGTGTCTTAAACTTCAGTTTGATCTTCACTTAATTAGTGGTGCCTTTTGATTAATCAAAGCCCCACTTGGCTTTGATTCAGTGTATGGATTGGGGCTCTGTGGATTATTTTAGGATTTAGGAGTTCATTTTGTGTGAAGTCCTTTGAGAAGCTGTGTTAAATCACAAAAGCTATAGGTAACCACCAGTGTTAAACATTAGGCTTCGCTTCACTTTTGGGGGCTCAATTTCTGCAACATTTGTACGTTTGCAAACGAAAGGGGAATGTGCCAATGGGTAGCAGGTGTGCCTGCTGACTGGCTGCCTTTGAGACCATTAAGAGGATTATTGTGGAAGGGGAAATGTGCTAGTTAAATAGATTATTTGTGTGCTTGCTTCTCCAGGCTGTGCTGACTGACATTTTACTAATCTATTTAGCAGATTGAAGTTCCAGAACAAGGCAAAAGTAAAAAAATACCACATTCAACAAAGCCAGGTCTGTGAGTAAAATTATGTAATTGATACGTTATAATTTTGATAAATCTGTCCTTTTCCCCCCTTTAACCAAACTCTTTTTACTTTTAAGAATAAGCCAGAATTTTCTTCTCAGAAGCTCCTCTGCATAGAATTGGGCCAATTGGAGGACCATCACAGAAGTACAGTATTTTTACTGTAGTACCCCATAGGGCCAAGAGACATGCTTTCCTGCATTTTTACATAGAAAACTTCCAAGAAGAACACAAAATTCTTTAGTGATTTTTTCCACACTCCATGCATTTTTTTTTGAAAATCTGGTTTACATTTTAGCTTCATGAATTCTCTGCAGTGTACTCTGTATAAAACAACCTTGAAGTTTATTAAATACTATTTGAAGCATTTAGGTCTGTTGGGCAGATAACAGTAACAGTAAATATCACAATAGAAAGCATTAGTAGGCACTTATTGCCAGGCACTGTCCTAAGCACTTTTATGTGGAATAACACATTCATTCTCACCAAAGTCTTATAAATCATTAGAAGAAATGAGCACAGAGAGGTTAGGTGACTTCCCCAGGTTGGACAGTAATCAGTAGTGGAAGTAAGTAGACAATTTGACTCCAGAGTTGTGTTCATAATTAACCCTTCCTTTCTAGATTCAAATCCTAGGGTATGTAAATGAAATAAAAGTGACCTCCAAGTAAAATTTGAATAGAATTTATTATTGGTCTGCTCCTGTTACACAATCTGCTGTGTATATAAAGGTACTAAGTACATAAATACAGTATTTATAAAAATGAAATAAAGTCCTTTCTTGGGATGCCAGGGTGGCTCAGCAGTTGAGCGTCTGCCTTCCGCTCAGGGCGTGATCCCGAAGTGCCGGGATCGAGTCCCACATCGGGCTCCCTGCTTGCTTCTCCTTCTGCCTGTGTCTCTGCCTTTCTGTCTGTGTCTCTCATGAATAAATAAGTAAAATCTTAAAAAAAAAAGTCCTTTCTTGAGTGAATAAGCTCAGTAAAAAAATTTTTAAAACAGACTAAATGCAAAGCTTACTCTCTTTCATAACACCAGCATTTTTGGCTGCTTAGATCAGAGACAGGAGATAAGAATTCTGCCATGTACTGGCGATGTATCTTCAGGCATATCAAAAAACTAAATGTTTAAGGGACTCCTGAGGTGCTTATTAAAATGCAGATTCTTGGGCCCCACTCCAAAATATTGATTTAGCAGATCAGCATTTATAGCAAGCATCCCAGTGGGGAACATAGCACCAAGCTTCAATTTCTTGACCTTTAAAATATAGGTAGTAATTACTCCATCACTCAAATTCAGCGGCAGCATAGTGATTAGCACAGAGCTGAGGTTCTCAACCTTGGTTGCACATTGGCATCACCTGGGGAGCTCTAAAAACAAATCTTGGCTAGACCCCATCCTCAAAGACTGTGACTTAATTGGTCTAGGGGCCTGGCAACAGAATTTTTAAAAGCTCCTCAGGTGGTGTAATGTACGGTCAGGATTGAAACTATTATCCTAGAACAGGGGTTCTCAAAGTGTGGTCCCTAAAGCAACAGCATCAGCATACGTTGGGAACTTAGGAAATTATATTCTCAGGCCCCAAACCTACTTCATCAGAAACCCTAGGAATGAGGGCTAGTAATCTGTGTTTTTTCGTTTTGTTTTGTTTTGTTTTTTTAAAGATTTTATTTATTTATTCATGAGAGACAGAGAGAGAGAGAGAAAGAGAGAGGCAAAGACACAGGCAGAGGGAGAAGCAGGCTCCATGCAGGGAGCCCGACACAGGACTCGATCCCAGGATTCCAGGATCATGCCCTGGGATGAAGGCAGGTGCTTAAGCCGCTGAGCCACCCAGGCTGCCCTAGTAATCTGTATTTAGCAAGCCCTCCAGATGAGTCTGATGCATGTCCAATTTTGAGAGCTACTGTTTTAGAAGAACAGATAACACAGAGCACAACTATGATCAACGTTGAAACTAATTCAGATATCCTCTCAGATGAGCAGCAATGCTAAAACAGGCCAACCTCCCTCATGCTCTAGGCAGGGCCAGCATGTCAAAAGTTGTCCAAGTATATTGAGTTCCAACTTATTTAGCAGACCTTTATATAGAGTTATCCTGAGCCAAGCACTGTTATAACTGCATTCCACATATAACTCATTTAATCCCCATAACAACCCAGCTGTTATTATTATCCTTGGTTTATAGCCAAAGGAACTGAAAACACAGAAAGGTTAAGTAACTTGCTCAAGTTCACACAGCGAATAAATAAATGATAGAGCCAGTATTGCAACTGAAGCAATTTGTTGTTTAACCAATAAAGTGTGTTCCTTTAACCACGTGAGACTTCTCTATCAAGACAAATCCCTCATAGAAAAAATTTTTTTAGCTTATCTGCCCATTGAGACACATTTATTTCACCAGGGACAAAGCCATGGCCTTGTCTTTGAGATTTCATAAATACTGAAAGCCAACTATTCAGTCACTGAAGATTTATAGCAAAAATATTAAATATTAAAATATTTTTAAATTCTTAAAATATTTTAAAATAACTATAAAGCTTGTTAAAAATTGTATTTGTGTGAGGTGTGCACGAAAGATTTGGGTGGAGTTAAAAATTGAAAGTTGCATAGCTTTAAGAGATGGGGGAAAGGAGGAAAGAGTCAGTGTTCAAATGTTACCTGGGAATGTCCCAGTGCCTGGAAAGGCCCTCTGGACAGGTCTACCTTGGCATACCAGTAGGAGGCGCCCTCAGCCCTAACACACATACACCTACCCTAAAAGCTTCTACTGGGAAAACCCACTTGAAATAACTGTGGCTAAAATAAATGTAACCTTTCTGTTGCCTTTTAAATATTATTTTAACATTCTTGACTTTTAAATTATTGTTGTTGTTATGGAAATTATTTCCTCTCACATAGATTTCTGATCTCTCTGTTTATTTCACAACAGAAAGACTCTTCTTGTTTTCTACCAAGAAACAACAAAATTGAGATAATCGAAGTTGACTGTGTTTTGGGGACCATAAAGGAAGAAGACCTTTGAAGAGAAATTCTCACGTTTTAAAATGTCCTCTAGGGCTGTCTGGACAGTGAAAGAGCTTGGGGATTGACATTGGCTGCCCACCACCAGTGGAAGAAATTTGAGCCCATTCATTTTCTTTTGATATCAAGATGGACCATATTCCCCAACACTACTTCAGGATGCTGTTAATCTTAAGATTAAAAAGAAATATGAGCCAAAGTTATACAATTTGCTTTTAATGACTCATAAGTGACAAGAGGCAAATCCAAATCAATTAGTATGAAGTTTTTATGTTTTTTGTTTTTTTTTTTACTCCAATAGATGTGTACCTGGCTTGATGAAGTTCTCTATATGTTCTGATATTCCGTGAATGAAGGCTCACCATAAAACACTATAAATGTATTTGGGGTTAAGTTCTGAAGACATGACTCATCACCTGAGGATAATGTGGCTCTAAGAAATGGAATCATTGGAAAAGAAATCTGGATTTCACTGATCCATCCATAGAACCAAGCAAGGAGGTGATGAAATATTAATTTCTTCCCTTACATAATTCTGATCCTACCAATAGGGATGTACTCAAAGTAATGGGCTGCCCGGTTCTCTATTTCTCCATGGATATAATCGTATTTTATCTTTAGAATATGGAATTCAGTTTAATAATCGCATGCTATTTTGAATATTTCTAATTTGGAAAGCAGTGTGTGGGGCCTTCCACTCAATATCAGATACTTTGTAAGTCTCTTAGCTTTAGAAGTATGTGTATTTTTTCACTAGATTTTTCCTTATCTAGTTTCAGTTTATCATAATGAATGTAATTATATATGGAATTAAGACTGCAGTAACGGAGAGGGACAGAGGAATCTATGTAATGTAATTAGATAAAGTGCAATATTCTAATGTTCTTTTCTAACTGGTTTGTGTAACTAATTATGTAATAAATATGAAATATATTCTTGTGAATATAAAATTTACTGATGAAAATCCTGAAAATGATCCTTCTGAAATATAGAATCTATTAAAGCCCTGTAATGTTTTTAAAGTAATGCCTCTAGCCATAACTTCTGATGTCATAAAGTTTTATATTTATATATCAGGCAGTAGGAGGATGTTTTGCAGGGGAGGGGAGTCGTAAACATTCAAATCATCCATGGTGATGGTATTAATGGATCAGGATACATTTTCAGATTAAAATAGAAGTTTGCTGTTTTGCCAGTTTAAGAATAGGTAATTTCTTTTTAATAGCAAACACCTACACAGTGTAAAAGCCTATTGGAGACACTAGAAATGCAAAGAGAATTTGTATTTGGGGTGAAAAGGTGCATATACTAGATTAAACGATCCCCAGTTGCTATTTTATAGGTCAAAAATAGTTGAATGTTGGCAGTTTCAGATATTTCAACTTGATACATGAGAGCCAGTAATCCCAGACAACATGCAGTGTGTGGCCAATGTGTGGCATGAACCTGTGTGTCAGAGGAAGTCGGGAATGTGATCAGGAAGGCCTATGGGGAAGAGGGACTTTGAAGAAGCAGTGGAGAGATGGGGACACACATGGGAAAGGATAAGATAGGCCCTGTTGAGAGAATGAGTAGGAAATGATGAGCAAACCTGCTCTGTTCTGGCAAAGTTTTAGGTTAGGGAGTACTTAGGAGATAAAGCTAAAAGCAAGGAGGGATCAGTAAATATGCAAACACAAATGTAGCATTCCTAAAAAACAAGCAGTTTACCCTGTATTTGGAGATGACAAAAACAGGATTGTATTTAATAGGTTTTTTCCCCCAAGACATTGAGATTATCCTCAATATCAGGATACAAGAAGAAACAAGTGATGGCGTGCATTCCATGGTCTATACCATGAAAAAGAAAGGAAATGGGCTAGTGGAAGACAAAACTCAAAACTCACTTTGTAAAATGACACATTCCTTAGCAGTTATGTGGGAGAAGAAAGAACTATTAGCTCCTTTGGGGATTATTGGGCCCATCTTTATCTAGGTGTTTCAGATTTGAATTGCTTCTGAGTCAGAACACTTCATCATTGGGTGAAAAGCCTAAACTCTGCCAGAGTGGCCTTCCCTGCTGCAGGCTCTGAGAGAAGCCAGAAGTGGGACCCCATCTCTTCTGAGGGTGCTAACCTCACTCTTACCTGGTGCTGCTGGGCGGAACCTTCCCAGCAACATAGCCCCTCCGCATGGGACAAGATGTGAGCCGGTGCAAGAGCTTTGTAAAAGGTGGGCAGCTTATGAAATCCTTCAAGTAACTTCTAAGTGGTGTGACATGGCTTTGGAAGTTACCAGCATATGCTTTAGTCTATAGATTCACTCTTTTTATACCTTCAAAATGGGTTCCCCATCAGCCAGATTTTCTCCTGATTCATCTGCTTTCACCAACATCACTTCTTCCCACTTCTAGACATATGTATTTGTTTCTGTTGCTGTTCATTCTCCTCGAATTACTAGCATGAGCACTCTGCTCACAGGCAAAAACACACGAGTGTGAAAAGTTCACAAAATATAAAAAGAAAAAGGGGCAGAGCTGATTTGATAGGCTCCCAGGGTGTGAGCCCCTGTGGGTCCCATAGAGAGAATCATGTGCACAGTATGTGGTGAGCTTGTGGCTTGCACGCATCCCCATGTGGACACATGGGAAGCAAACTTTATGCTACATATGTAAATTAGAAATTACCTTAAGTTCACTCTCAAAGTGATTTTGAGAAGAGCTAAGTGATCCTAATTTGTGGAAAACCAAACAATTTCCAAGCTTCATGGGAAAATAATGGCCAAAGTGATTCTATGATACAAAACAAAAGAACTCAGCAACAGAGGCAACTCTACTTCTTCAGATGCTTTTTAGTCCTTCTCCTACAGTGTGTGGACCAGGGCTCACCAGGGCCCATGTGGACTCTGGACAGCAGGAGTTGGAGTGCAAGGTACTTCTCTCCTTCATTAGGGTGATCTCAATCCTGTCATTAGGGATCCTAGAAGAATAGTCAAGAAAAAGACATATTTTGCTGGCTCTTATCACCTCAAAATAAAGCATGCTGAGTTAACCTAGAAAATGTATGGCCAGGGCGCCTGGGTGGCTCAGTCGGTTGGGCAGCAGACTCTTGACCCTTGATTTTGGCTCAGGTCATGATATCGGGGTTCTGGGATCTAGCCCCTCATTGGGCTTCAGGCTCAGTGGGGGGTCTGCTTCAGGATTCTCTCTTCCTCTGCCCATCCCCCTGCTTGCTCACTCTCTTTCTCTCTCTAAAATAAATCTTTTTTAAAAAAGAAAACGTATACCTAGCACCAATAATCTCTTAGAAGATGGCTTTTCAGCCTTACCATTGTATTTTCCCCCCACTTTATTGAGGTACAATTGTACTTTGCTTATAAGTTATTTTGTAATAGCTTTTGTTGGGGGCACTTAGATGGCTCAGTTGGTTAAGCAGCTGCCTTTGGCTCAGGTCACAATCCCTGGGTCCTAGGATTAAGCCCTGCGTTGGGCTTCCTGTTCAGTGGGGAGTCTGCTTCTCCCTCTCCTCCCAGCTCATGCTGTCTTTCACTATCTCTGTTGCTATATCTGTCTCTCTCTCTCAAATAAATAAAATCTATTAAAAATCTGTAATAAATATGTAATAGCTATTTGTTGTATTCTTAAGAAAGAAGTCATGTGTTGAACAGTTTTCCAGATAAGAAAAATTAGAGCTATAGAAAAAGTACATCATGGGTTTGGCTCTTTGGTCTAGCTCTGTAGCCCATATACTTTTCTGTAGGGCAAAGTCTTCAGCTAACCAAATGGGCTTTGGTTGTATAACATCTTGGAAGAGATTAGACACTCAGTTGATTTAAAGACACTGACCCTGGTGATTTTGCACTGTTCCTGCACTGAATGCGTTTTCTGTCCCGGAAATATGGGAACACAGAGTTGGCTGTACTTCCTAATGGACTTTCCATCTGTCCACACGAGCCCTTATTTTGATGGGTTCTGCCGTGCAGAAGTTGTCTGGTGTGGAGGTGCCTGGAGCAGCAGGCTGAAACTAGAAGTGTGAGTTGGCTTTTCTGGGCACATGCCTGCTCTCATTCGCACTGAAAACTAGTCCCCACAGAATTTCTGGAGAGGTCCCCCTCTTTGTTTTGGGTCTAGTGTGCAGAGGAAGAGGTGACAGGAATCTACTACATCTGGGTCCCCATCGAGAGAAGTTAGAATTTGATTTTCTGCAAAAATCACGGGTAAAACAAGTGTAATGGCAGTTATGAAACATGGTGCAAAGTTAACCACTTGGAGACAGGTTTTATTCAAAAATCAACTGTACAGATTTTGCTTCACTGTAACTGGTGGAGCATGATGCATTCCAGAGGCACCACACCAACAAGTGTGCATTATTTATATGAAAAGGGAAAGTGGTTCCACTCTCCATGATTTGTATGGAACCATGTTAAGGGGGAAAATAGGAAGGCTGTTTGTCAGAAGTTTCTTTTTTTTTTTCTTTAAGATTTTATTTTATTTATTTATTTAAGATAGAGACCAAGAGAGTGCACACGACAGGGAGAGCAGCTGGCAGAGGGAGAAGCAGCCGCTCCGTTGAGCAGGGAGCCCCATGTGGAGTCTCCATCCCAAGACCCTGGGATCAAGACCTGAGCCCAAGGCAGACGCTTAACCAACTGAGCCACCCAGGTGCCCCATCAGAGGTTTTTTTTTTCATGTATTGATTGAATACATACCATAGCAGGTAAATCTAAGATTTCTTACAGGTAACTGGTTTTCTATCAATTACGTATGTCAGTATTAGTTTCTCCTTTGCAATTAACTGTGGGTTCTTTGTGTTCAAGATGTCTTTCCCCCTTTTTTCTTCTCTCATATCCCCTTTTCTCTTTTCATTTGTTAAAATTAAAACAAAAATTACATGTGGTCTAAGGATGATGATGAACAGGGGCTGAGATCTTAGTGAATTCACTTAGGAAAAAAAAATCCTAAAATCTTACTGCTTGAGTGCAAACTCCCTTACCTGGGGACTTGTTTAAAAAAATCCTGCTGGGGCAGCCCAGGTGGCTCAGTAGTTTAGCACCACCTTTGGCCTGGGGTGTGATCCTGGGGACCTGAGATCGAGTCCCGCATCGGGCTCCCTGCATGGAGCCTGCTTCTCCCTCTGCCTGTGTCTCTGCCTCTCTCTCTCATGAACAAATAAATGAATAATTTTTTAAAAAAAATCCTGCTGGATAACATGACAAAAACACAGAAGTCAGCGAACTCCATTTATTTTTTAATGTACCACGAGTTTGGAAGATAGACACACAAAATACATTTTTGAGGTTTATAAAAAAATAATTTGTCTTTTCTGATTCTATTTGCCTTAAAACAAATGCATAGGCTAAGAGCAATTCACATTACTTATTCACCTCCCCTTTTCTTCACCCCGTAAAAATGTCAAAAGTCTCCTTTCTTGTTGGTCAGGTGTTTAAGTTCAAAACATGTATTAGTCCAGTTGTATTGGCAGAAAAGAGTTGTCAGAGCAAAATAGCCTCAGGCTTCCTCCTGACTTTGGCATTGCAGTTTTGTAAAGGTAGAAATGAAAGCACAAGCTCTGTGTTTTGAGAGGAAGAGAGCCGATCTAAGGCAAGTTCTGATAAAGCTCATTCCCTGGAGTATGTTTCAGGATCTAGATAGAAGGAGAAGAGCTTTGCTTCTGTTTGATCACTAGCAGCTTATTTTGAGATGAATATGAGAGTTAAGATCCCTTGAAGCCTAAAATGTCAGTTTGGTTTGAGCCCCCAGAGTGAGCTAAGCACTGTTCCAGGGTTGGAGCGGACCCTTTAACAACACAGATTGCTGGAACCAGCTGCTCATTTTCTGGAATGAGCAGACATTCCAGAGCCCTCTGGCCCCAGCATGAACCCCACCCTATTTTCTCCTTTGTCCACACCTAACAAACCCTGAACTTGTGTAGTCTCTAATGAGTGGGAATATTAGAAGGTTAGGAAGGAAATTTAGGGCCAGA